AGAGTGGGGAGGAGTTACTATGCCTAATTATTAGCGGGTAGATGAAAGGGTGAGGAGTTATTCCTCTGCCTACTTAATGTCGTGGGTTATTTAAAGCAGGCTTTTTACATTCGTTATTTTTCATCCTTGGTTTTCATTATCAAAGTATTGTGTAATTGGAGACATTGCCCCTCTCGAATCGGGCCGATTATTTCAGTTCCAATCAAAGTTGCCTGCTTGAATTTTAGATCTTATCACAATGTCTAAGGCATGATATGTAGACCTATACATGGCTTCGATGTGGGATAAAGGCTTTTGTGTAAACTATTCATTATGCGGCATTCCACAAATAGCTTCCCCCCAATATATAATGCCAGTATGTATGTGTGTGTATGCCTAAGAATAAAGTAGGTAGGTGATTAGCTGCCCTTGTCAACACCTAAAATTATCCTTAGTCATGCCCTTTTTATGGTTCTGGAATTTAAATCTATTGAAGCTTATTTCAAGTTATAAAATTTCAGTTGTTGAACTTTCTTCCAGAATGAGAAATATTTGACATGGTATTATTTCTTGTTATGGATATTGTGGCCCATTCATTTTATTTATTTTGCCATAAAATCTAGAATTTGGATCTTAAAAATTGTTGATCCAACCTTATTTATGAATGTCGTGATTTTGAATCAGGGAAAAAATTTATTGCTTTGCTGGTTGAATGGAGAAACGCAAAAGGGATTAGTCGATGAGGCGTTTAATCTTTGTGCTGACTTTGATGTAAATTGTATATTTCAAGTGGCAAACAAGACTAACCAAGTACGAGAAAAATGGAGTGCAATAGAGATGAAGCGAAGAGGGCGAAAGAAATTGCCGAGAGGAAGCTTTATGCAAAGGACATTGCAGGGGCAAAAAAGTTTGCTTTGAAGGCCCAATGTTTGTATCCTGGCCTTGATGGTATTTCTCAACTACTAGCAACTCTGGATGTCTATGTTGCTGCAGAAAATAAAATAAATGGTGAATCAGATTTTTATGGGATACTTGGTGTCAGCCCATCGGCTGATGATGATACTGTGAGGAAGCATTACCGGAAATTAGCTTTATTTCTTCATCCTGATAAGAACAAATCTGTAGGGGCAGATGGGGCATTTAAGCATATCTCGGAAGCATGGAGTTTGGTGTCTGATAAGGCCAAAAGATCAGCATATGACCAGAGGAGGAATGCTAAACTTTTTAAGCAAAATGGAGGAACAACAGCGCCGCCGCCACCACCAGGGCAGAATGGTTTCTACAATTTCACAAGAAGTACAACCACTCGAACAAAGGGTACAACTACTACCCCAAAGGATAATACCAGTGCTACCACGAGCACTGGTCCCACCTCAGATCCTTTGTCATCTAATAAACAAACGAATCTGAAGACATTTTGGACTGTATGCCATGGATGCAAGATGCAGTATGAGTACTTAAGAATGTATCTACATCAAAATCTCCTCTGCCCCAATTGCCATGAACCCTTTTTGGCCATGGAGACTCCGGCACCAAATACCAAAATTTCTACTAAGGCTTCAAAAAGTTCCAAAGGAGCCAGCAAGAACTCATCTAACCCAGGAAGGCACAGGACAACAAGTCAAAAAGGGGAATCAGGGCATTTTGGTAATCCATCTAATCACACAGGCTTCCAGTGGGGCCCATTCTCAAAGACAACTGGTCCTGCATCTACTGCTCAAGCTGCAAGCATGGTTCAACGGGCTTACGAGAGAGTAAAAAGGGAGCGAGAAGAAGCTCAGGCAGCCATTAGAAGAGAGGAAGCCTTAAGAAGGAAAAAGAACTCAAAAAGAGCAGCAAACCTTTCATCATCTGGGCACTTAAATTCTGTGAAAAGAAAACAGGGTGCAGAAGATGTTAACTCCACGAGTTTATATGGACTAAAGCAGGGTAACATCGGACTGGTTGATGCCATGAAAGGTGTCTCAATTACTGATATTCGCACTCAACTTGTTGAGAAGGCGAGGACTGAAATCAGGAAGAAGTTGCAGAAATGGAGCTCAGAAAGTGTGCTTAACTCTAAGGTTGGAATGGAGGACAGAGTAACTGAAAAGGCTGGCAGGAAAGAGGAAGAAAAAGATGGGGATGATTCGATAAATGGAGACTCAACAAAGAATGCCATCGAGCCACTCATGATCCATGTTACAGATCCAGATTTTCATAATTTTGATCGGGACAGATCCGAAAGATGTTTTGGAGAAGGCCAGGTATGGGCTGCATACGATGATGATGATGGGATGCCGAGGCATTATGCCTTGATTCGCAAGGTAATTTCTATGGACCCTTTTAAGATAAAGGTATGCTGGCTTAATTCTAGAACCAACAGCGAGCTGGATGTGTTTTCTGGGTTCTCGAAGGCATTTGGTGAATTCAGAACAGGCAAGCATGAGATCCTTTCTGTCTCTAATTATTTTTCACACAAGGTTCATTTTTCAAAACTGGCAAATGGGACTCTTCAAGTTTATCCTAGAAAAGGAGATATTTGGGCTCTATACAGATACTGGTCTGCTGAATGGAGTGAAGAAACACCAAATGAAGTAAAACACAAGTATGAAATCGTTGAAGTTGACGAGTTGGATGAAGAAGCAGGAGGTTTCACCGTTACTCAACTTGTCAAAGTTGCAGGCTTCAAGACAGTGTTTCACAGGCATCTAAACCCTAAGGAAGCAAGGACAATACCGGAAGGTGAAATATTCCGGTTTTCGCATCAAATACCTTCATACTTGCTAACCGGTCAAGAAGCTCCCAATGCTCCAAAGGGATGTCGTGAGCTGGATCCTGCAGCTACTCCTGATGAATTTCTTCAAATTATAGCCGATGTACAAGAAGCAGAAAACATTGATGATGAAAATGATGAAGGTTTGGGCAAAGATTTTGCTTCGAAGAGTAATAACGAGTCAGCAGTTTTAGCTGATGTTAAGGAAGTAGTGAACTTGGACGATGAATAATGGTCGAGTAGCAATTCAATTCGTTACCCCTGGAAAATTTCCGCATGGGTGTGAAGGTTTTTTGCTTGAGTTTGTCCCGGCTTTTCACCTGCAGTGATCGATGAAGGAAGAAATTACTATAACGAGAGGTGAGTGTGCATTATGCAGATGGGACACTGTGCATAATAGTTTGTCCAGAAACTGCCTTTATACTGGATATATATATATAGTCCTTTTTGGGTACTTATTTATGTTATATTTCAAATTGATATTGTACCTGAAGAGCTGTAACAATGCCTGTTTTGATTTTGTGATTCGAGGTCAAAACATCACATATGAATACAGTGGGATGATGGATATTATTAGTATTTACTATTAAAGGTTACTTTGGTTTCATTATGACATTTAATTCTTGTTTCTTGGTCTCTTGATTTCATGATACGTTACTTCTCTCTGTTTTTGCGGAGATGACAAATGTCCAAAGGCCTGTATGTTAACAATTTAATGAGCTTAATAAGATTTACAATTTATTCGGTTAACTAAATACCACTTGGTTATACTTAATCATATAAAACGTTGCTTATCCATTAAGTTTTAGAAAACCAAGTTTTTTCCAAATCTGCTTCTCCAAAATAAAAATACACACTATTTTCATCTATGAAAAAATCCTCTCAAACAAAAACTGTCTTAATCTATATAAACAGTTTAATCCGCACGGACAACTTTATCAATACAAGACTTAATAAAAAACCAATCAAACAGCTCCTAAATATGATAATTAACTGTTTTACAGGTCTTGAAGTTTATACAATTGTGTATCTTATGTAAAAGTACTATAAATACGTTTTCAAGATTTCTTATGTAAAAGTACCAATCAAACAAGCCCTAAATATGATAATTAACTGTTCTAGGGGTCTTGAAGTTTATACAAATTGTCTATCTTATGTAAAAGTACTATAAATACGTTGACAAGACTTCTTTCAAGTCATTTTGAAAGGTCATGTCATTTTACAATAGAACTAACTTTCCATCCCAATAACATAAAAAGACTAATATAACACTTCATTTTAAAAGTGTCATAAAAAACTTGTTAAGATGTTCAAAATCATCCCATCAATTTATTGAAATTTACTTATACTAGACAATTATTTGGTCCTATAAAACAATGTATTAGAATATTTAGACATATTTAACATCAGAATTTGTTATAATGTAATTTTTACATATTGGGATAATGGAATAAAACATGATTAATATTACTACAAGGACAATTGGAATTGGAATTGAAGTTGAAGTAATATATGTAGCATTACACAAAGGGTGATTGCATCAACCCACTACTAAAACTACCTGGGAAACCACATGTTAAGCCTTGGCAGTCAGACAAGGATGAAAGGCGGTCCCACAAGCAATCCATTGTCGTTTTCGACTGTGTGGGAGCACACAGTTGGGAACTCTCAACCATTCTTTTCTCAAGATATCATAAGTAACCAATCGGTTCATCATTTTCGATCGAAGCGATAACATCAGCAATCCTCTGTTACCCAAACAAGACATCTTAATGTGCTTTCCATAGAATTCTAAGCACCATATATTTGGCATTCTGTCAACCTCCTTCCACAAGAGAGTCATTTTCTGAAGCTCCCATATGCATACGCAAGTAGCTGCGTTTTTCGTCAGCAACCCCACCAGCATGATCCTCCCGCCACACTCCGCCAGACTCTGGTCGCTCAGGTGGACAGGGGCCGGGACTGTAAATTGCTTCCAAACTCCAGTTTCCATGTCATAAGACACAATCCCATCTGGATCTGACCTCAGGAAATACATCGAACCGTCTACACACACTGCCTGTGACCTGAAGTTTAACGACAATGGTAGCTTGATACAAGATGGCATACTTCCAGGGCATGTCCAGGTGTTCTTTGTGGAGTCGTAAACTTCATACTCACCATCGGAACCAACCCACATGATTTGGTAACCACCGTTAGCTGATTTCTGGTTCAGGGTCATCCCTACGGCTACTCTTGACCAGACCTTGACCGATCTAGCCTGCAACTCTCTGAAAGATCTGGTGAGAGGATTACACACATAGAAGCTCCTATGTCCGATGTCAAGAAAACACAGGAGGCCACCGGCAGAAGCCACAGGCAATATGATCATTTTTGTGGGTATGGCAGGAACCGTGGGGTGGTGCCATTTTCTTGATACAGGGTCATACATAGCTCCGGTATTGACATTTTCATGAGTTCGGGTGTAAAACCAAGGTTGGGGTTGAGGGACTTGAGCACATTGAAGGGAGAAGCTATTTGAAGTCAGCAAAGAATTCCATTTCTGGCAAACTGAGCGGAACCGGAAGAAGGTGGCAACAGGAAGTCTTGCAATGACAGCCTCATGTAAGTCTTCGGGGAACTCTTTCCAGATTTCCTCTTCCATAGTCTCATTTGAACTAGAGGTTTCGGCTAATTTTCCTCGGCTTCGCTCCTTTCGAGCTCTCTTAGAAGGTGGAGCCTTACCAGGCTCCAACATCTGGAACCTTCCAGCCTTCATTACCAGATTGTAGCAATCATCTTCTGAAGGGTTATCTTCAAGGTTCAGAAAACACCATCTGCAAAGAAAATTACACTGATGAATAGTCATGGTTGCTTTATACAAACTTTGAAGGTCAACACAAGATGATATACAATGAGATGGTAATAGAAGGTGTTTCTATCAAAAGGAAACGAATAACACGGCATTGCTGAAATATCATAATACTGACAACAAAATATGTGCAATTCCGATAGATAATTACACATGCTATTAAAACTTCTGGGGTTCTTTAGGTTTGCATGCATACACACATCTTTTCACGTGCAATAAGATCTTCTAGTGGGCTTCTGCATCAATGCATGCCTCATCTGGATTTTTTTTTTGGGGGGGGGGGGGGGAGTGTTTCGGATATCCAGAGTATGCCTGTCATATGCCATTTGCAACTACAAGACTGTTTGGAAGCTTAACTACGGGCATCACCAGAACCCAAACCAAATGAAAATTATTACTTCTGGGTGCAGTGAAATTCCCTCTTCCCCTGCCGTACTCCAGTTTGGTAGTTTCCACAGTCTGTCCAGAGTCAAGTCTTGGCCTTTGTTCTTTAATGGGCGGTTGAATTTAGATTATAACAACTCAAAGAGATAAAAATGTGGCATTTGTCATAAGGGATATCAAGAAGTACTCCCAAGGGTTCCCAGTAATATCAATGCTGTTCCTTAAGATCTACTACAAGATGAGATACGGATGCTTTAACTAGATGATTCAAGGGGAAATATCATTATGGGTGTAGTTAATTCATGCCCAAACAGGCTTTAGTGCATAATAAATATGCACAAATAAATAAAAGATTTGAAATCAAGAAATTTGTGAAGATTTCATCAGCTCAATTCCCAAAATGTGTATGATTGTTTAGAGTTCCTTTTGTCCTTAGAAGGATAGAAAGAATAAGCCAAATATTGCTTTAAAAAAGAGAACATGAATCCAAAAAGAAAAAACAAAGGCAAGCCATGTGACAAATGGGACCAATACTAGGCAGTTGTGATCAAAATAAAGGGTTCTATATCTACATTACTACATATACTATTAGAATGATAGTACTAGCAGTTTGAATTTTGTAAAAATGTAATTATCTTCAATAGATAAGCCATTTCTTTATTTTCCATAGAAACCAATAATATGGAAATAGTTGACAAATATGTCAAGAGTAATGTAGGCTAAAAAATTGGTGATTCCATCATCCTCAAATCAACTTGTCTAGGTTTAAGTAGATACACCCACACGATTTTTTCCAAAAGAGTACTTTTGGCATGTCCATTTCTGTGCAACTAGAATCAGCAGCTCCTGTAAGTGTAAAAAGGAGCATTGATCTTCAAGGAGTGTTCATCAATGAAATTTCCATCAGTACTCTTAGCAAAGGTAGACGCTTGAAAAAGTCACAAAACTGGTTGGACTCTTATTCTACCAACTGCAATTTATGGATGATTCGAGTTTCTTGGCCTCCCTTATGAATCCTCAATAATACACAATAAAGGTGACAAGACAACAATCTACACACACACTTAATATATAATTCAACCATTACTACTGCTAAAAAATACATTAAAAAGGAAAAGAGCAAAGAAACATACTATTAGTGGAGAGCAATTATTTACATTGAAAGCAATCTACCTTCTTGAGGCAGGTAATTACCCTTTTTTTTAGAAATTTTTACAGTAGCTGATTCTTGCAAGTCAAAACATTATTAGTACACAACAGATGTATTCATATGTGACATTTCCAGGTACAGCGTAAAAGCAAATTTTTCTCAGTTGGCTGCCTCATATAGAGGTTTCCCTGCACCTGGGGATTTGGGGGACCAAGGAATTTATCATAAATACTGACTTTATACCATAGTAACGGTATATTATATGAATCAACTCAGTGAATTCACTAAACCTGAGAATCTCTAAGGTTGAATGTGTAAGGACTTTGAGGGTTCCAATTGAAAACATTTTAATATGAAAAGCACTGTGCAGGCCAAGATATTTGTAAACAACTACAAATACTCATGAATAATTTATTGGGAACGGGGATCCTCCAAACAGCTTTAAATCTGAATATGTGAATTTTCACTCCAAAAATAGTGTCAATGGTCAGGATGAGTGCACTAACTCTGTAGTTGCACATGTTGCTCGTCCAATGATTTTTTGTAATATCCACACTTATATATATATACAGGCTGCTGACCGTACAGTCTTGTTTTAGTTAAGGGTGAGATCCCCGATCTCACCTTTCTTTTCTTCCGGAAATACATTAACATAGAAAAGGAACACCAACACATCCTCATTTCACATATGAAAACAAAAATCAATATCCCCTACTTGTAGCTTCCAAAAGTCATAATTAAAAGGCTCTATAAGACCGAGTGTAGGTCAAATCCAAAAAAAGCCCTAATTTTGATGCCTCCTCACATTTGACATACCTAAATAACTCATATACATGAGAAATTGTAACAACGCACTACTGAATCAATTGGTTCCTTGCATACAAATGAGATTCAGCAAACACCATCACAACCCTTCCTGTGGAAAATCTTAAATCATGTGCATCATGTGTCTTCTACGCTCACGTCAACTAGGAAATTGTACTCAGGCTTGAAAGCAATTAACTTAGTAAGCCATGGAAAAGGAAACAGGCAAAAACTTTTAGCACAGAAAAACAAAATGAAAAGCAAAAACATAGAACATGTATAGAAAAGAAAACACGTTAAAAGATCAAGCTTTCACTCATTTAACATGAATATAACAGTACGCTTTCTATAGGTATTACTTGATAAATCTCGGTTTACAAAAGGCAACTAACATTGATTGGAACCACAATTCCATCTAATCAAAATGTTCAAGCTCATAATAAAACAAACTACAATCAATCACATAGATTAATATGAACTGCTTTTCAGACAAACTAAATTCATTACAAAAGCACTCACCAACAGAGACGAAGCTAAAAGTAACAGCAACAACAAATTTCGAATTCATAGAATTTCAATCCAATTGATCGATTCAATTTGACTAAGAAAGGAACAATTTCCATAAAATAAAAAGAAGACCGATTACAAAAAAAATAAAAGTCAAATTATACGCATAGGTAAAGTATGAAAATCGATCTAAATAGCTAGGTAAACAAGGGCATAAAAAGAATCACCTGTTATTACGAAGTTGTGGCGGCTGTCCGAGTATGGTGGGAGGTTGATGATGAAAGATGTAGGGAAGATGAACGGCGGGAAGCGGCGGAGGAAGAGGAGTACCGTAGAGGTCTAAGAGCTCTTGAACTTGACCGATGAGCTGCCTCAACATGGCCAGCCCTTCTACAAACAACATTTACATATCACCTCCTTCTTCTTCATCATCATCATCATCACAATCATAATAATCCCTCCGCCATCATCATAATACCCCACCTCCACCCCGTTTCTCAACTCTACAACAAAACACTTTCTCTCTCTCTCTCTATATATATATATATATGTATCTATATGTTGTATATATCTATCTATGTGTGTGATTTTGTTGTTCTGTTTTTCTCTGGAGAAAGAGGGGAAAATGAAATTGGCCTAATATTTATTCTTTTATTTCTCAAATTTATTTTAATTTCCACGTCGGCAGGCCCATAAACTTCATGAGTAGTATTGACCAGTACGCTACTTTTGTCCCTTTTCCATTTCCCCCCAATTCTGTCTTCCCATTTTGCCCTTCTAATCACATACTCTCTTTTTTTTTCTTTTTTTTTTTTATAAATTATAAATCATATATCATAAATCATTTATCAATTAAGTAAACTAGGGGTGAATAGAAAGTCAACATATCTAATTGAAATCAACTTATTATAATTGAATATTCAATTGTAATTGGATGAATATGATAGAAAATCTCGATATCAATTTGGATCGATCGGTTTTCAGATGACAGTTCAAAATCGACTGAACTGAACCGATCAACCATCTGATTACCATCCAGTTATTCATCCAATTATTTGATCTCAATTTACTTAAATTTGAATTTGCTTTGTGTTGGTTTTTTAATTTTTAGTCTCACTTGTGTTGGTTTTAACACATATCAGAAGTGATTAATCAATTTGTTTCATTGTTAGAAAGCTGGATTAAATTAATACATTGAATGGACCCAGTCTGATCCGATCATCTATTAGATGTTGGATGAATCCAATCCGATCAAATGGATATTCAATAAGATTATCCAATGGATATTTAATTCAATAAATTGGACATCCAACAAAAATACACAATGGATGGAATGGAACATATACCAATCATCCATTGGATCGGATTGGTTGACCGATGCAAAATTCAACATCCAATGGATATCAACAGATGAATATATCATTCAATCCAATGACTTCTAAAATATCATTAGGAAGTTAATTATAATAATTATTTTTAGACTTTGGATTCATCTGTTTGTTATTTTTATCTCAATATTTCAAAAAATATCACTACCTTTGCAAGTGACAACTCCTCAACTTATGGAGGGGTCAAAATGTAAGAAAAAAGTTTATGAACCAGCTCCGTAAATACAGGGCCCAAATTTGTAAATTAGTCCCAGCACGTCGGCAAGTAGCGGAAATATCACTTGCGGACCTATTTCATAAATCTTTTTTTTTATTTTATTTACATTTTGTCCCCTCCGCAAATTGAGAATGTGCTACTTGTGGACATAGTGATATTTCTAAAATTTCAGGAGAGAAATAGGTAAGAGATAAATCCAAGGCCTAAAAATGATTATTTCTATTAATTTCCCAATATCAATATTATATCTTCTAAATTGGGAAAATCATTATAATTCATGTTATAAATATTATGGACTTAATGATCTCAGAATTCCATATATTGTGATAATTATGATAATTTTTATCTTAAAAATGTATTGTTTCACATGATCTGTTCTCATCTAAGGCTAACATTTAATGTATTGATAAACATATATTAGTTTTATAATATGTTTGCTTCATATGTATTATGTTCATAATGTGAAATTCTTTTACGTGTGACTTTTGTTTCACAAACACGTTAAAAAAGTTCACATTGTGAAACAAATATATGCTAATCAATATTATAAATCCTAGTTTTAGATGGAAAAAATCATAAGAAATTATACTAGTTTTTAAGATTATCATAATTTAATGAGATATCAAAAGAAGTATAATTTTGTTGGTTGTTACGTATTTTTACTGTAAAAAAGGGATTTTATATAGATGAGTGTAGTTATTAAAAAAGCAGTATATAAACATATGTACACTACACATGATGTGATTTAAGATGTTGTAGATAAGAGACTTAAACGTTAGAAAAAACTAAAAGTATATAATCCTAAATCTTTAAAAGATAATTATATAGTTAAAGTAGATAAAAGGTGATTTATGAAGTAACATCTTCCAAAAGACAATAAACCGAGGAGACCCACAACTACGACCAAATGTCAAGTGAGGAAGACCCACGAGTTGTTGACCACACAATCAATCATTGGATTAAACCAACATTATATATATATATATATATATATATATATATATATTCTTTTAAATTTTGTTCATAATTATAGTTTATACATGAAAATTTTATCTGCTCTGTAAGATTGACATACATATAACAAATATTTAATGTAATATCATGCATGCTATGTGATAATCATCCAAAAATGGAATGCTATAAAGATTTTTTTTTGTTAACTATGGTGTATGGGGCAGTTTGTGTGCAGCTAAACCATGAAGAACGTTCAGGAAAATCCTCATTGGCATTACAGGACTTGAATCGGTGAACTCTGTGAAAAATCTCATAGGTTTCATTTAGTTTGCAGGAATGAAAAAAGATTTTCAATTCAAGTTCGTTCCAATCCCGTATTTGGTTTGCATGATTGTTTGGATTTAAAATCCCTCAAACATAGGATTTTGAAATCTCATAGGGATGGTTGGGATTTCAAGAGATTCCGAAAATAATAATGTTTTATAATATATTAAAAATGTTTGTTTTCCAATAATCAACTAATAATAAGGTAATTTATATAACTATTTGTAGTTTGTTTTTACAAATTACTTATAAAGAATGAAATTCAATTCGATTATGAATCTAAAAACCAAATATTCCAAATCCAAATCCAAATCCAAATCCCTCTAAACGATTTCATCAAACTAAATACCCTTTAAATGCCAAGTATTGAATGTATCCCATGTGTTGATTGCTTCAAACCCCTTTGGGTGCAGTGTTTATTATTCAGGAAAACGTTGTTAAAGTTTATTTATATAATATGTTGCCAAATAACAATATTGATCTACAAAAATATGGTAATTCCATGATTTCTATTAATAGTTGATACTTTATAAAAGTTTAATCTAAATACTTTATAAATTTATTATTATGAAAAAAAAAATCTATTTTTAGTAGTTAGAGGAAGTGAACATATATATCATAGAAAAACAAATACTCCTCCCATTTTTAAAAAAAGAAAAGAAAAGAAAAGAAATCTATCTTAATCCTATTGAAATTAGAGGAAACTACAAAATTCGTTTCTACGGTTTTTCATAATTAACATTTTTTATTCATTCACTTTTAAAATTTGTTCTTTGTAAAAACGTTTGGATGTGAACACTTCTTCTAACAACCATTAAATGAGATGTAAATTTGTCCTTTATTTTGATTTGTGCGGTTTTTGACTGATTAAAAAGGAAACTGATAACAGAATTTTTAAACGACCCTTAGAGAAGGAATTGAATCCGATCGTTTTTATAAAATTTCAAAACTATATAAACGAAAAATATTATTTATAACAAACCATATGGACCAAATTTGTAGTTTACTCTTGAATTTATAACGTTGAGATTATATCCCTAAATCAAGTAGCTAGAAGATTTTGGAAGAAAAAAACTCTTTGATGTAAAAAGAAAATGAAAATAGGAAGATAAAATAACGATACACAAAAGTCAATGCTTACTTCAAAGGTATTCCTACCCAGTTTGCCACTTAAGCCAAGATTGGTTTGGTGTGAAATCAATTGTATATATATATATATATGTATGTATATAGTGGAGTAGGATTATCCCATCTCATTTTAAATATATATTTTATTTCGTGTATGTGTTTTCCATCAATTATATATATATATATTGTTTTCTTTTTGTGTATATATGATCTTAACTAAGATTTGGGAAAACTCAAGGTATAGACATAAAAATTGTTTGATAAGGCATAAACTAGTTTTCTTTTTCTTTTTGAAAGTTCCTTCAAATAGTTTTTCTACAAGTTGCAAGTTTTTTTCTACTTATGTCTCCGAGTACAAGTTTAGCAGCTAATAGTTGGTTTATTAGCTAACAACTAATTTTCTTTAAAGTAACAGGAACTTGTGAGATTAACTCAACTGACAGTAAGACTTGAACCATTTAGGAATTACTCTTTTGAGTTGATTGAAGATTTTCCTAACTGTTCTCCAAAAACTCTTGTAATTAGTGGAGGTATACACAAACACCCATGATTATATACATGTAAGCTAATATGTCTTGATAATAAATTAGAAAATTATGAATCCAAATGAAACTAGAAAAGATAGTGAGCAATCCCAATGATGCATTTCCACACCCAACCCAACCCGACCCACCATCATCCATTGAAATGAGTAAGAAAGGCAGAACAATAAATATTATACATGAAAAATCATGGAGTTTAATTACTCTACTCGAGCACGCAATAGATTTATTTTTCTTTTTTTAATATTACAATATTAATCAAATGATTGAATTTGAGCCAACCCAACCCAACCACCTTCCGATTTGCATCATATACTTGTTGCTTCATTGATTGTAGTAATTCTAATTCTAATAAAAAACAACGGATGTTCTTTGGGTTATGGTAATGTGATTTTATTTGCATAAAAAAAACAATATTTGATTTGATATATAATTTTACAAGAAATTGATTTGACATCTAAAAGTGTATTAACGTATACGTCATTTGCAAAAATAAATAACGGTAATGTTAACTTTGCTAAAAAAGACAAATATGGTGCATGAAAAATCAATAGCTATCAATAATTGTTGTAATAACAAAAAGTATATACTTGTTTGAAGAGACCATTTTTTATTTATGTGTTTTATAAGACGCTGACATTCATTTCAAAACCTTTCTTCCAATTTTGAAGAATTGGTGCTCAATGTTTGGAGTTTTTGGATGTGAATTATTTGGTTTTTATATATAAGTTATGGTATTTGTGCAAGGTGGAATCCATACTTACAAACTAGATTTTCTTATTATAGTTGTGTTGTATAGAGATGGAGTATTGAAAACCCAAGATACAAGAAGGAAAAAAAAAGCCCTAAACTGAAAATAGCTGGAAACTGTTTGGATAATTAAATCCCAAAGAGTTAGAGAGGAGAGGTGATAGTGATTTACGGAAATCTAATGAACAAAATATTATCATTATGTTTCAATCTTTGAAAGTAAAGAACGAAATTGAGAGAATGTCATAGAAGAGAAAAAGCAAGAGAGGGGAATCAAAAGAGACGTTCAAAAACATTCTTCACAAGATCTAGGCAAGACTTCATTTTTTTATATATAGTTGATATTTAACTTGGTGTTGCATGACACCAAATCTTTTAGCTGACTATTAATATACATCTCATAAGTAGAATGTTGTTGATAGATAACTTAAAGGGTAAACTCTAGACTATTAGCCTTACTGACATATATATATGATAATTGTCATCTGGATTATGTACTGTATAATGGTTTTAACATTTTGTTTCAATATGGGATGGTTAAGATTTTACATAGTGTTTGTGTATGTTGAGAATTCTATGACGATGTTAGGATAATGGTATCCGGGGCTATAATTGCATGGTTTTATGAAGACGATGATATGTCATTTTCATGATGTTACAAAAACTATCATCATATTTACTCCGTTTTATTATAAAAGATTGATGTAGTTTACACATAACAATCACTCACGGTTAAATCTATAATTTTTTATAATTTGGTTTATAAAAGGAGAATAATTAATGGAATGGATGGTATTTATTTGAAGGGGGGTTGTGGGGGCTACATATTGATATTATGAAGAAAGAGTTGGGATTTGAGGTAATAATGATTAGGGGTGGGTAAAATGGTAATCATGAGTCATTATGATCATCATTGTGCTTGAATGTACACATAATCTCTCTTCTCTTTTACGTGTGCAGTCAAACTCATTTCAACTAAACTTTATCATCCTATTTTATTTTATTTATTTTTCATAATTATTACATCTCTTTTCAAATCATATTACTTTTCATCTTTTTATTTATTTATAAAATACCCTATAAATTCTTTAAAATGAAAATTTTGAGCATTTTTACTCTAAACCTTCCTTAAAACCGAGAAACTTAGGAAAATGAGAATTTTATATTTTATTCTTCCTTTTCAATAAGAATTCTTAAAATTCTTTATTTTAAAGAATTTGTTAAAATTTCACTTATCCTTTTAGTGATTAAATTATTTAATTTCAGTTTACTTGTTTTTTATCTTATTATTATTAAAAGTTATTGTATAAAATTAAATTAGGGAAAAAATATAATTTAACAAGTATGTTTGATTATTACAAACATTTAAAACTTGGTATTACAAAAAACAAAATAGAAAAATCTGTTGGACCATGATAATAAATAAGAAAGAAAAATTCTAAATAATTATTACTATTATTTGTCAAATAAAAACATTATTTGTAGGATGTGTTTTTCTTTGAGAAATGTGAAAAGTGAAATGCTTTTGAATCTTTCTCCCAACTTGACCTTTCTCATCTTATTCTTGGCCATGCATTATTGCTTTCCACTTGACCTTCATCATGCCTCCCGTAATTTCAATTTCCCTTTCAAGTACAAATATTTTACTATTAAATTACTAAACAAATACATTTTAAAAAAATTAGTATGGATTTACCAAAAAACTAAAATATTATATATTAAAGAAACTTTAATTTTATTAAAAAGACATAAAATAAATTGGATCGTTGCCCATGAAAATTTGCGAACGAGTTAAGTTTGGTCACTTATTTTAGTATTTGAAATTTAAAATATTGTAACTTTTTTTCAAGTTGAAAATGATGTTTTTAACTTTTAATTACAAGATTGTTACGCTGGTAAAACTAGACATTTCGTAAATAGAATTTCAAAAGGAAAAAGACAATGATTTTCCATTAAAATAAATGCAAACATTTTTTTACAAAGCGTAATCCAAAATGACCGTTCTGTCATTAGTTATTATGAAAATTTGAAGAGTTTAATACATACAAAAAGTGTAATTTTTTAGACATTTATAATTTATATACAGGTTTGAAGATTTTTGTGCGAATTTATCACAAAACATTGATTAGGCCTGGGCCTTACTCATATTTAGCCCATTTCAAGATCTAAGTTGTTTTGAAAAATAAACACATAACTAAAACCAGCTGCATAAACATATTTACATATGTCAGTGGATGATAGCATAGCATCATTGTTTTTTTTTAATATTTTGTGTCTTCATCATGTGCTACTCCATGTGTCCTAACAAAAATGTGATAGTTTTACAGTAAAAAAATAATGTAATTGCTAATACATTATTCAAACATAGATGAGTAAAAATTGTGAGGTTTTTTTTATTTCTCTTATGAAACATAGATCTTCAAAGATTTAACCTCATATTCTGCACTCTATTAACATACATTCAAGTGTAATTGATTGGGGCTATAAAACCAAACCCTTGGATTTTTTTTAATATGCATGGAGTCTGCTCCATCTTCTGTTGTCCCAGTCAAGAGACTCGGGTATGTTTATTTTGCAAGAATAAAATGGTATTGGGGGATTTGGATTTCAAATCTATTTCAATTCGTTGTTCGGCATGCAAGATTGTCTAAATTTGAAATCCTAAGATTCTACCCTCAAACATAGAATTTTGAAATCCCTCGGAGGTGGTTGGGATTTCACAGGATTTCGTTAGATTTGAATATAATAATGTTTTAAAATATGTTAAAAACATTTATTTTTTAATAATTCATTAATAAAAAGGCAACTTAATTATTTTTATAATTATTTATAGTTTGTTTTTATAAATTATTTATAAAAGATGAAATTTCATTCCATTCCAAATCCATCAAACACAACACATCAAAGATTCCAAATCTTTTCACGAAATTCAAATCCTTCAAAATCATTTCTTCAAACTATACGCCCCCTTAGAGTATCTAATAATATAAATTCTCAATAAAATAGCAAAATCAAAGCTAAAGTAGACATCTTTTAGCTCGAGGATAACCCATCAAGAAGATCAGTTTTTTCACCAAAGATACAAAAATGATGAATAAGAAACATCAATCTTGATGAAATCCATTTTACGATTTGATTGTACTAAAAATAAAGATTTGTTTTGATTGAAAATTACTTGCATATTTGTACACTTACATAAAGGAGGGAGCATCTACACAAACAACTATCATACCAGAAATTGAACAAATGCAATACACAACCACAACTCCAAACTAAACTAAGATGCCATTTACCAAACTGTTATCAGGGTAAGTACTTATCGACAAAATTCAACAATATCACTTACTTACAGGAGACGATTTTAGTCGTTTGCAACAATTTACCCTGTGAGTGCTAACTGTGGTAAGAACTGTCGTTCTCACTTACCGGGTAAGATTTTTGGTTCTTGCTATATCCATCCGATTAAGATAACGCGACTTGGTAAACGCTTTCTCGGATAAGCTCTTAATAAACTGCCCCTAGGTTACTACTTACAATATTTATGGTTCTTATTTGAAATCCCCTCGTGCAATGTGTGTGTATGTGTGTAAAAAGCATGATTTTATCAAATGAAAGGTAACAAATTTGATACTAAAGCATGTATGAACAGTAAAAGAATACAAAAAGGTTATAGACTTCTTCCAACCATCCTAGTAAATCCATCCTCAACCCACCACTACCTATCCGCCCCTTCCTCTGCTTCCATAAGAGCATCTGTTTGGAGCTTTTTTATAAGAAAAAAAGGGACCCACATTCTAATACCACACTTGTACATCCACAAAGCAAAAAAACTACTTTTTTTAGCCGGGAGCTTTCTAATTGAGCTTATGTGGCAATAAGCTTCCAAACAACTTTCAAATAAGCATCATTATGGATGCTCTAACCGCCAGTATTTGCTCACTATCCACTACCCTAGTTTTGCGACTCCATAAACTCCTATCTAACACAGAAAATAAAGCTGGAAAACATAGTTGACGTGTGAACCGGAGCTTAAGTAGCAACAGATATCGTTGATGCAATGAGTATGATTGCTTATTTGAAACAACTTATGTTTTAAAAAAAAAACACTTATTAACTTATTATAAGTCAGAAGAGTTTAACTTCTTCAAAAAAAAACTGCTTATTACCGGTTTGGCACCGGTATAAATTATTTCTCCAAACACTCAAAAATGCTTAATAAGTCAATAAGTTGTTTTTATAAGCACTCTCAAACACCCACTTAATCCTTCATGTGAAACTGAAGTTCAAGCATGCAAAAAGGAATCATGCAAGAATGCAATTTGTTAGTCTAAGGTTTATAGCGTAAAAGCAGTTAAAGAAACGAAAACACACTCTTGAAACCGAGAAATGGATCTGTTTCACCTGCTGTTGCCAATGAACAGCTTTGCCTCTTTGCTAAACCTGGAGACTTTTCTTCATTATTTGCTTTGCCTTTAGGTTTCACAGCTTCTAAATCTAAAATAGTTAAAGTTCCTTTGTGAACTTGATCATTTGACTCTGCACCTGCAGATAAGTCAAAGTCAAAGTCAAAGTCAGGAATGGATGATTTGGTAGTTAAGCTCTTGATTTCATCGACTCGAGGGAAGCATTTGGATTTCTTTCTTATATGCTCGAATATTGTGTCTCCAGTTAGCATGTTGGATCGAGTGCTGGTTCCTCCATCTGGCTCGCTTGATTCTTCGCTTGAATTATTGGAACTTTCTAGAAGTTCGTTGAGTACAAGCTGTCGGTTGTGGGTACGCTTTCGGATCAGGCTTAACGTCTCCAGGGATGGCGGATGTTCAGTACTTGGTGTGGCTGCCAAGAAAGGTAAGCTCTTGGCCTTTTCACGTATGTGATCAAAAACGGTTATCTCGGTAATGATTTTGCAATCATCATCATTGTTCTCGACAACACGCTCACCTGCACGTTTCAAGATGTATAGCATTCTTACTCGGACAAAAAATGATACAATTTTCTTAGGTTTTTTTTTGACAAGTTAGATAAGCACAGTGAACTTAGGCAATGTTTGACAACAATAAGCTAGTTTGAGCTTATTGAAAAAGTTTCGTTTGATTAGCCAATAAGCTAGCTTCTTGAAACATTACTTCAAGTTGTATTTCAATAAGCTTAAGGGGTTCTATTTTTTCCAATTATGACCCTCATAATTTTCCACTTTCTTATATTTAATATAAATCATTTTATATTGTCATCTAACTTTTTTGGAAGTATATAATAATATTTATATATAGCAAATATTCTTGCACATTCCTCCTCAGCAAAGGTGAGGAGATTTCAATTCTTGACCTCCTGACTGGGCTCCATGGTGACCCGGGTACCACTAGCCAATGACCCTTTGGTGTGTGATCTACCTGTAAGGCTGATACCGAGCCGCCAATGACCCTTTGGTGTGTGATTTAGCCTACCAACTAGCTTTATTACGGAACATGACTAGTTTATTGGCTAGATTATTAACCAGTTTTTTACCGAACATGGCTAGTTTATCGGTTAGTTTATCTGCCAACAGCCGCCAGCAGCCAACTTATCACTAGTTTGCCAAAGATAGCCTTAAATAACAACTGTACATAGAGATTTAAGATGATGCTAAACTTGAAAAATGATCCATATCAAGAAAAGCATGAAAGCCTCAAAAGTCGGTATGGAGAGTATTGTAAAGTCTTAAACTTTACCTTCATCTGAATCTTCATCCAATAGTTTGAAACTGGGCCTGATCTCCAAATCGAAGACAAAATTAATCAAAAAAACATAATACTAATAAGTTATACAAGTTACAGACAACAATGGTGGTTGTTGAGGGTTAAGAGCATACATGGAAGCTTCTTCAGTTTTGGATTTTAACGACTTCTGAGGCTTGCGAGTTGGGGATTGAGGTAGATGATCATTGTCAGGATCAACTATGTACACATTGCTTGGCTGAGGCAAGGAGAGTTTCTTCATTCCATGATCATGATAGATATGGGAGTTGATATCCTTCATGAGTATAACCTTCTCGTGTATGTCAATACCAACTGCATGAACTTCAACCACCAAAATGAGTGTGAATTCATAGGGCCTTTTGGCCTAGCAGTATCCGGTAACCCAACCTTCCTAAAGGTGAAGGGTTCCAACCTCACCAAAGAGCAGGAGTGTGTGTGAGGATCACATGTGATATGGGCATTCTCATTCTTTTAAGAAGTGGTGGTATTCTCATTTGAACCTCCACCCATATATACATGCGGCAAATCAAATGAGAACAACGAAAAGGTTAACAACCGTGAAAACCAGTTTTCATCCGTCGTTTCACATTGTGAATTATTGAAATGCATGGGAAAATACATGGTTCGTTTCACAATGTCATTATTTTTAGTGTCTACTTTAAGGATTTTTTATTTCCCATTGTGAAAGAATATTGTACATATACATGCATTGTTTTACAATGTGAAACAAACACATGATGATCCGTGGTTCTCACGGTTCTCAACCTTTTGTGGTTCTCATTTGGTTATGTCCATATATCTATTATATATATTATACTTCAAAGAAGGAATTAAAGAAGATGAATCAGAACATGGAACTTCACTGAATTCTTCGAAAATTAGATCTGCCTTAACAGTTAGCTTTCCTTGTAGAGGGCTTGTAACTAATATTGTTGCACTATAAGGGCTGCAGTCAGATAACCAACAAACATATTCATAAACTGTAAAAAGATGAAAAAATAAAAAAATTTGACAAATAAAGTTAAAAGTGGCCCAGAAAATACTTAAAACATAGATTCTTGCACGTACTTCTTGCAGATCTTTCGCTATGCTTAGTTTGGGGCCATTTACCAACAAATTGGTTAAGCGCTAATCGGGAAAGAGTGGGATCTAAGAGGTTTGATCTAGGTACATGGTCCCTGAAATGGTGGCTGTTTACCAAGTGTTTTGTAGTAACTGCTTACATATAAAATACCTTTATCATCTTGTGTTGACCCTGTAAGTGAAATAATAATATTGACTGGATTGGTGCTCGGTCATCACCATCGGTCAGACAGCCTTTAGGAAAAATGGAAAATTAGGTGGTGCTGATCGAGTCACCCATGCTGACCATTTCAGCACTGGGACTCGACACTGTACTTCACAGAAGAAACATGTCCATACCTTGTAAATTCTTCCACTCTGCAGTAACAAGTTGTAGAATAACGTCAAGTGCCTATTGCAATTATACATCATCATATAGCAACTGTGGTTCAGCTTCCACTTGATCCTTTGAAGCAAATAAGCCGATATTACCTTATTTTCTCATGGAAAACTATCATGTTATCTTCCTCTGTGGCAACAACCTGTGAAGAAAATGGAAGTTCTATTAAATACAACCAAAACTAGTTGTTCCACGTTTAGAGCGACAATTAGACGGGGACATAACAAGACTGAGCAAGGCAAAAAACTGCATTTTTGTCTCACCATAATAAGGTGGAACAAAAAATAGGGAGATGAGACAATATAGGTAAATTACTAAACTACCCCATGTCAAATTAAAATCTTTCATAATTCTTTCACCCCCTACCATACACTCGCCAGTCCTGCTCGCACACCAAACGCACACTAAAGGTACTATTTAACAAGCATTGTATTGTAAAAACATATTCCTGACTGCATACCATATCCGCATAATGTCGTTTAGTTGCTTGTGGCGATTGTGACAGTCTCGTTAATGTCATAACCAGCTTGGACTTCCCATAATTTGGACATGAAATCTCCTCAACCTTCATATCAACTTTTGGTGGAAGTGAAAGCAATGATTCCTTGATATGGTTACCAAATGGGAACTTTCGACCAGTAACCATCTCTATTTTTCTTGGGTCTGCTTCAGAAAGGGTCTCAAATGACTTCACTCCCATAGATTGTAAGGCCTGGACATAAACAATAGTTAGGTGGGTTATGAGAGTATCATCTTAATTACACACAGCAAAAGAATTTAATTTTGGTGTAAGGATTTTGAGAATTTTAGAACGAATACCTTTGCAGTCACCATACCGATGCCAGGCAATTGTTTCAGCAGATACGGACTGTCTTCCCAGAGCTTTTGATGTAAAGATTTCGCTAGAAGGATTGAATTCAAAGCTCCTTTATAATTCATTTTATATATAAAATACTCTTTCATGCATTTCGCAATTCGACACCCATTTGAACAAACAGAGTTCATGTCCTGTAGATGGCTAAATGTTAGATAAAGACATGACAGCAAGAACTTAGACAGATTCAAATGAGAACCATAAATCTTTTGAGAACCGGTATATGCATATATACATATATATACGTATGTATATATGCATTGATGCATATACACTATCAAAATATGTATTATCTCAATGATATATTCATCGGCGTATATATACACACACACATTATATATGCAAGTACATGCATTGGTGCATATATTCATTGAAATTCTTATAGCGCATATGCATCAATGTATATATGGGTTCTCACAGTTCTCAAAATATTTATGGTTCTCATTTTAACTTTCCCCATAGAAACTTTATAACTGTAAAAAAGTGGGATCCTGACCTGGGTAAGAGACAAATCATGGGCTAAAGGATCTCCAGTCAAGCAATCATTTGCCAAAATAAACAACTTCTCTTCTCTGGTTTGTATGCGCCTTTTCTTCTTCCCTTTATCTCCAAGGATGTGAAAACGAAGCCTACCATCTTTATCGGTATTTATGTCATTTAGGAGCTTCTTCTCGTTCCGCCTCAGTTGTATCCCTTCATTCGAATTTCCAGTAATTAAGTCAGTTTCATGATATTATTTTAAGAGTCCGACATAGGCTAGACTTGGACTATTTCTCATCTATATATGTTGGAACCTCCCAACTCTCCTCAAGGGTTCTTTTGGAGAGCAATTTGGCACATACTCTCACATGGTATTAGAGTCAAGGTCTACCACTCTAGGGGCTCAGACACTCTGTTTGTGCCTTCTAGCCCCTGTTGGAGGAGGCATGTTAGAGTCCCACATCGGCTAGACTTGGACCATTATGTTGGAACCTCCTTTCTCTCCTCAAGGCTCTTTTAGAGAGTAATATGGGGTTCCACATATTCTCATATTTTCATTAGATACAAACTTATAAACAAAAACATACATGAAATTTCCTCTGCTCGGCAAACAATATGAAGTGCATCTTCTATGCTGCAACTTGAAGGAGCTTTCATGATGTGTTTCATGGTGTCAAATTTCAAATAATACTTTGTCATCAACCTTCCAGGTTCTGTGTACAAAAATGTGGATATTTGTTCAAGCAGAGAAATATCTGAATATATATATATATATATACACACACACACACATATATATATATATGTGCACATGGAAATTGTATGATTATAATGATCTTATAGATTAAATACCAAGAGGCTTCAAAAGAAAACCATCTTCGTCGGTCCAGATCATTTGGTAGTGTGCTAACTCGTTAACTTTCTGAACACAGACCTCTGCAGTACATGAAATGAATCAGAAACTGAGATGCAGAAAAAGTAAGCTGATTTTCGTATTAAAGTACCTTGTATATGCTTCTCTACATGGGTATTAGATAATCCTTTCTTTACAGCATAATTTTGAGGGTTCTAACATCAAAGGGAAAAGTTCAGCAATATATAATTAACAAGAAATAAGTCAATAGTTTATTGGTACATTACATAAACAACCTTTTTCATTCTCACATACAAATATGAGCATTTCATCCATTCTATTGCCCTTGTTATATCTGGGACAGTCAACTGAACTACCTCTGCAGCTAGATGCTCAGTAACACAAGAAAGTAATCTGAACAGAAAATGGACCATATCAACATCTTGTTGGCTAGCATGCATCAAGCCATATAATTTTCAGAGACTGTAATACGCTTGAAAATGAGTTAAAAGATCATGAGACTTACTGAGATTCAACCAATTCGCATCCACCTAGTAGGTTCTCATACAAATGAACCTAAGATCATGTTTATAGAACATGTTTATCAGAATAAGTGGAGTAGATCACCATTTGATAATGATCATTGTTTGATACTCAGATTCTACAAATACACATCCATCTAGTAGTTTTCTCTCTAAATATGCACCCTTCTTTATGTCTATATATATAGGGGGAGGTTAAAATGAGAATGGTAAATAGTTTGAGAACCTGGGAACCAACTATTCATTTGTATTCATGATGATGATGAATGTCATGATAGATGTTCATTATGAAAAATACTTATAATGAAAAACATGATAAAATGCATGATATCATGAGTTATGAAAATACATAATAAAATGCATGATATCATGAGTTATGAAAATGCACAATATCTTGATGAATAATATTTATCGTTATTCAGGGTTATTCATCATGAATAATACATGAAATAGTGGGTTGTCAAGTTCTCAAATATATGTGGTTTTCATTTGAACTTCCCCTATGTGTGTATGGGTGTAGAAAGAGTATATATAATTATATATATATATATATAGAGAGAGAGAGAGAAAGGAGGGTACAGTTTCTCTTCTTGTCATGATTATGACCATTCCAGTATCATCAAATGGTGGGCGGCCTGCCCTCCCACACATCTGCACAACCAAAAACAGCAGATTATGCTCTCATAGGGAAAGGTACCAGTAGATTGTTAACTCCAATGATGTGAAGATAGATGCTACAAGAAAATAATGTAATAATGAACAGATGTATCCTAATTACCTACCATATGTAGAAATGTTTACGTCCTGATAGCAAAGTTATTCTGATGCACACTTCCACAATTATACCAAAAACAAGTGCACAGATAAGTGTCAAACCTGCAATATCATTGATCTATCATATTCCATGTAAATCCCTTTCTCCTTGTTGCTGAAGAAAAGGAAAGATAACAAGTATGAAAACAGTCAGGTGACTGGAACTTAGCCTAAAAATCTTAAGAAAAGTAGATCTGGACTTACAAGTGCTGTGTTGATTTGATTATAACCATATGTGCTGGGAGGTTAATTCCATGGGCAAGGGTGTTTGTGGTGCATAGAACTTGAAGATCACCATTGAGAAAGAGGCCTTCAATCAGATTACGATCCTTTGGGGAAAGTCCACCATTGTGATAACCAACTGAGCAATGAGAAAGATCAAGGAAAGATAAGTTAGAATGAACATTGTCAACTTTATCATTATGCAGTCCCTTTGTATTACTTGCAATTATTATTTGCCTTTCAAGAAACTTATTATTTTACTACTTGTAGGAATATGAAAACTTGCCACCAAAAAGGATGTGTATTCACTTGCAATTATTATTTTCCTTTCAAAGAACTTATTATTTCACCACTTGTAGAAATATGAACACTTGCCACCATAAAGGATGTAAGATTGCATCTGTTTGTCACCACATGAAAGTGAAGCTTCCTTCAACCTTTCCTGCTGATCCCTGCTTTTGATGAAGGGGTTTGAATAACCATGGGTCATTACTGTCTGGGACAGCCGTTGTGCTGCTTCTTGTGCCCCCTTTCTAGTAGAGCAAAACACTAGTGCAGACTTTCCACTAGAATATTGCATAAGGAGATCTGCATGTCAGTTTTTAGGAATTGAGAAATTTCATTGTGTTCATTATAGAGGTCTTCTCACCAAAAGAAGTTATGGACATAAGATTCATAGAGGTCTATGCTCACCAAATATGTAATTTTGAAGCCGCTTAATTATAGAAGAAAGATAATGAAAAGAGCCAGGAAATTTGTCAGTATCAACATTATTTATAGTAGGAAAGATAGAAGTGATTTTTAAGGGAAAGATTGAATATTAAAACCTTTATAGGAAACCATTAAATACAATAGCACGATGCACCTTACCTTCTCAAACAGAAAGTCATTTTTGGCTGGAGCATAGCCTGCAAGAAAAAACTTCAACGTTAAGCAAATGCCAAACAAAAACACAGCAAGAACTACATGCATTATGAATTTAAGGCACTTAAGAAAACAATCAAAAAGAACAATGGTGATTGGGATTACCGAAAACTTTGGTAGTCAACTTTACAGGCCTCATTTCCTCACCAAACCTATACAAATGGTAAAGAGTCATTTCGTTAGCAGAGATTGACACCCATCCATTGCATGCTATCAGATAATACCTTTTAATTCCTTGGATAGGAACCATAAGCCATTCAGCTGCAAGAGCCAGACATGGTCAATGATTATCTGGTGGCCTCAATTACCAAAAGATTACGACAAAGTGTCACTAATTTAGAGTCACAATAGAACAAATAGATAACTTTACCAAGGTCATCAATATTGGGGATTGTTGCAGAAACAGCTAGGAAACGCACATGGGCCAATGGACTTTTTCCCATTTGAGGACTGCAACTAATCATTTTGATTCTACTAACTATTGCCTCTAGAGCTGCTCCACGAGGATCATTTAACAGATGAACTTCATCAATAAGTACTAGCGATATATCACTAAAAAAGCTTAGGCCACCATCTTTGATGCCAAACCTAGTCACTGCATCGAACTTCTGCAGATGAACATTATATAAGTATTACGTAAACAATGGAAAAAGAAACTGTGCAAGTAAATCTATATACGACCTCAGGAGTAGTCAGGACAATGTCTGCCTCTTGTATATTCCTTACACTGTAGGATTCATTATCCCCAGTAAGCTCCAAGCAATTTATCCCCCATGACCCGAGCTTCTGGTTCCAACTCCGGAGCTTCTCTTGTACCAAAGCCTTGGATGGGGATATATATATCTTCACACGAGAAGATAAAGCTAAATAAAGTAAAATCCTCACTCTTGCTGCCATAAACTATTTATAACAAATTATGAGCAACAATCACTGAAGGATAGAGTTTCCACATATGTAAAGGGTGAAAACAATAGATGCTCAGTATATAAATCAGAACAGAGTTTGAATCGGCATGAATATGTTATATATTTATGCAGCACTGGTCTGGAAAACTTAAAAACTTCATCATCTCAATAATTTCTCAAGCACTAGGGTGATAAATCTTTTGATGATCATTGCGGACATAATTCATTTCCCAAAGCAGACAAAGCAAAACTTGATCTTTTACCCAAAAAAATAAAATAAAAGCAGATGTAGCCTACTGTTTTTAGAGTTCCCTTCATATGAATAAATCTTCCTTCCTGGGAGATGAACTTTGACAGAAGCCTCAATATGCATAACTCAAAAAGCACCGTCTTCCCACTGCCTGTTGGTGCTGAAATAACCATGTTCATATCGGAGTGGAAACAAGCAGAAAAACATTCACTCTGCAGCGAGTTAAAATACCTGTATTTAAAAGAAATCGCAGACGAAAAGATGCTATTATTACATCTAAAGAGAGACTATCACCAAGAACAAGTAGCAAAGTGCCATAGGGGACATGAAAAATAGATAACGAAGCTTGAAAATATAGAACAAATCATTATTTTTCTGTTATTGGAAGTAGATTTGGCATGAGATCTATCTTCAAACTAAATTATCTCACTACTTGGGATATTAGTTAAACTGCAATTCAAGTGATGAAGTATTGGAAATACAAAAGGTAGAATCTAAATGCATAACTTGAGATACAAAAAATCAACCTAATAGGTATCAGCAATTGTGCATCAATTCACTACTCTATGTGATAACCTGAAGTAGTGATGCATGTAAACTACATCCGAGGCTGAAAAAAGTCACAACTCACACATGTCTACATAACTAATTCCGCACACATAGAAAATCATTACTATTGAAGGCATACCTGAAACTAAAAGTTGAACGGAAGGGATCAGGTAGATCTGAGACAGACTTAAGTGAGTATGAATCCATAGATGAGCTGATTTGCTATTTAACTGCAAAATAGAGGAAAATCGAAACAACATAAATGTCTTGGACTTGCAAATTACAACCAACAAAAATTATTGGACTAATTCGAGATCAAAATTATATCCGTGTTCAAGGCACTTGACTTGATAGAAAAAAGATGTATATGAATGCAATTATTTAGACAAAAAAACGTCAGCATAAATTGAAGAACCTGAGCTTGGAATTTTTCTGGAAAACTGCACGAGAGTCACAGAGACTTGCACGAAGAAATGCAGAATACTGTGATATTGCAGATTTGGCAAGTTTTAATGGTATAAACTCCAGAAAAGTTGTGGTTGATTTCACGTATGTTCATATTAGAAGCAAATGGTGATGTAGAGTTCTAATCGGATGAAAAATTCATAACCATGCCGTCCTGATCGATTTCGACTTCTCAAATTCTAATGAAACAAGTGGTAATAGTGTTCTTCTCAATTGCATCTGGTTGAAAAGTCTGACGACGAGCTTGTAACTTCTGTGAAGCACATTAAACTCCAGTATATTACTCTAAGACATAACCAAGCCGATTCTTTACCTGAAAATTTATCGTATGCTCCCCTGATTGATCGATACGAAAAGCACTAGAACGATGAGTTCGATTTGAGAAATTGAAATGCAAATCAAAGTATGTGCGACCTGAAAACAGCAAGTTTTTGAAAGCGAGTATATGTAGGTCGTGGGACTCAGACGGTCGACTAAAGATCTTTTGGCGGGATCTTGTATTGCATTACTTGTGATATCACGAGGATATTTAAAGATTTTCTAAAAAAAACTCAAAATCTTTTAAAATATTTATATTTAAGTCCAAATAGATTCTTTAATTATTTAGAGTGAATTAAGATTTTTGTTCTAAGATTATGATTTTCATTCTTATAGTTTTGACATTTCGTTCCCAATTATTTATAATTTATTATTATTTTCTTTCTTTATTTGATTATTTTTATTTGTAGTTAGTTACATGAATTTAAACACAAAGTTTTAATAAATTGTACATACACATAAGTTACTTGTAATCTTGAATTTAAGTAATATGCATCAATAAACAGTACTTCATGCTTAAAAAATAGTTATTAAGAGTTTTTATCAAATGATTTATAATATAGTATTGATTAATCATTTTGTAAATACAAATCTAAAAGAGGGAAAATAATACTTGCAAGTTGCAACATAAAAATAAAAATAAATGCAAACATTTTTTCCGAAGCTTGATCCAAAATGAATCATGAAGAATTTTGGTCCATAAAGTAGCACAAATTTTGACACACAAAAAGGGTATTTTTAGACATGTATAATTTACCACCTACATGTTTAGAGTTTGTGGTATGAATTCATTACCAATACCATTACCAAATACCAAATATTAATTGGGCCTGGGCCTTACACATATTTAGCCCATAACTAACCACCAAATAGCTGTAGCACTAGCACAATCTTTTCTTAAAATCTTCAATCATGTGTCTGTGCGTTACAATTGAAATTGATAATTTTACTGTAAATCAAGAATAAAAACTTAGTGTAACTATTAAAATTCAGAAATTTATATATAAACAATGATTACTAAATATGCTAAAGTATATTGATTTTTTTTTATGAAGCATAGATCTTTAAATATTTAACACTCTTATTTTTTATAATAAACGGACAAAAAAGAAAAGAATCATATGCTTCAAAGGCATTTGATTGGTGCTTTGAAACCAAACACTTGGATTTTTTTTATATGCAGGGAGTCGTCTACACTTTTTATCGTTTGAATTAAGTAAGAGAAATCAAAACTTCAAAATATTTAAGAATATAAATCCTAGATAAAAAAAAGACAAATATAAAATATAAAATTATCGATGAAATCCATTTCAAGATTAGATTGCATTGAAAATAAATATTTGTTTTGATTGAAAATTACTTATTTGTACACTTACATAACTTAAAAGAAAAAAAGAAAAGTGACAAATGAATAGAAATTCAAAATGTGAGAAACACGATCGAACATGGAAACTCCGAGGTTGTCGACTTTGGTAGCATGAATCTCTCATCTTGAGGCGAGAATCACCGAAACCAATAACATAGATAAATAGGTTGTAAGAATAATTTGTACATAATACTTAAAAAATTGTACTCAAAATAATTTTAAGAGTTTATGAAATTTGTACTTAATGCTTAGTAGATCATACTAAAGGAATTTAATTTTTTTTACCCAAATGTTTCATAAGGCTATTCTACATAGAAAATAGAAAATTAGTACAATTCCTTATTTTCTTATTGAAAATAAGTCCAAAATTCACAGAGTATATTATCGTATGTTAGTAAGATTAACATTTATCATATATTTGAATGCCTTAATCAAGTAGTTTTACTAAATTCAAACTTGAATTTTTTTTTAAAAAAAAATAGTTGCATGTATACAATAATAATGTATATATACTTGAATTTTAAATAATGTTAGAAAAAACTCGTTGTGACAGCTATCGTGGTGCACCATAACTTAAGGCTTGTGTCTCACGCCATGTTACGCATATGACGCGCTATGACCTAATGCATGGTTTTAAAAAAAAACATTTTTTTTTATTTTTCTTACTTTTTTGATGTGTTATTTGTTAGTTTCTAATGTATAACCTAATCTAAATTATTTAACATCCTTGATTCACTGAGTAATAGTAGGAAATATATGTTTATATGTATAATAATCTATATGATATAAAGATTTGTCGTCATAAGTCACGCCTCCGTGGCTCCTAAGGCTTGAGGCTTAATGCCAAGCCACGCGCTCACGCCATTTTTGAACCTTGATTTAAAAAAAATATGCATCAATAAATGATATTTTAATAATTTTAATCCCATACTTTGTTAATATAGTATAGATGGCGGGGGGCTGTTTGTTTGGTTTTCCATTAAGTCGTGTATGAATAAAGTTGTTTGTATTAATTTGTCTGTATAGATTGAGAAGGTTTTTCTTTGGAAAAATCTTTCATAAATGGAAGAAACAATGTTCTATAATTAGAAGAGACAAGTTTAGAAAAAAACTTGACTTTCTAGATAAAGTTCGTTATAAAAGCTTACTGAATAAGTTGTTTTATATATTATTAAGTCACTATTAAATAGTCATGTATAGCCGATCGAATAAGTTGTAAGTCTAATTAAACTCATTACATTGCTAACAAGGGAAGGAAATGGACCCAGTTAAGTGGCTACGGTGGCATGCTCCATCGTTAACTAAAGAATTTAGGTTCGTAAAAGATACAATTGTATTATTTTAAAAGGTACAACCGTATAAAAAAATCACTAAATTCGTCCACCCTATTAACAAATATACCCTTAAATCTTAAAATGAGTTAGAAATGATTGGAACACGTTTGGGTGGGTATGGAACCGAAAACATGACTCAACGATCTCCAACCTATACAAACCACCACGATAATCCCGCCTTACTCCTAATCTCATCCTAATTTATAAAACCTTCCACAATTCCTATAAATCCATTAATTCTTCCATCCTCCATTTCATAGCATTATCAATAGCAGCCATGGCCAAAAACACACAAAATTCCACAAAAGAAGATGACGAAGAAATTGTTTTCCAAAGTCGATACCCCTCCGTCCCCATTCCAGACGACCTCACCTTGCCGGAGTTTGTGCTTAAGGATGCAGAATCCTACGCCGACAACGTAGCATTCGTGGAGGCTGCCACCAATAAATCTTACACTTATGGTCAAGTTGCTAAAGACGTAAAAAGATTTTCAAAGGCCTTGAGGTCCCTCGGCCTTAGAACAGGCCACGTAGTCATTGTCGTACTCCCCAATATGGCCGAATACGCAATCGTGGCTCTAGGCATAATGGCCGCCGGTGGTGTGTTTTCCGGTGCGAATCCGTCAAGCCATTCGTCTGAGCTCAAGAAACAAGCAGAATTGGCAGATGCCAAACTAATTGTGACCGATGACCACACTTACAATAAGGTAATTGAATGGTGGCTTGAGTATAAGAAATAAATATGGGAATATTTTTTACAAAATCTCATTTTGTTGTCTAGTTCATTGCTTTCATACGTGAGATTGTGTGTTCAAGTCTCTTATTACAAAAGAATTCATAAACATAATTGATCTGAAACTAAAAGTTAAAAACTAAGAAAATGACACTAACAGGATTGGAGCTCGGGTCTGGGTGGAAGAAAAGTTTAGCAAAACCCTACCAAGAAACTTGTGTTCTCATTGTAGCTTCAAAACATATACAATGACACACAACAAATTAATACAGTGACATTTTTCACGACCCTATAATTTTTTATACTACGACGGATGAACAATAAAATGGCACGGGGCACCCTATGCTCTATATTGAGTCCGTCCATGGCCAAAGTTGATAGGTGGTTTAACCTTTTAGGCATATTTTAACCTAAATTCGGTTTTTAGTCAATTCTTAAATAAACATATCCGTGGGGATTGGTTTTCGACAAATAAAATAAAAAAAGAACCCTTATGCATACTCGCAAGGTTTCTACTTAAGGATTTTTCTTTTTCTTTTTCTTTTCTTTTTAGCCAAATACCGATCCTGTATGCATAAGGCTTACGTAAGAATTAGTTAAAGTTGAATTTGGGTAAAAAAGATTGGCTAAAAAGAAAAACTTCGCTGATTGGTTATCTATGTCAATTTCCCTTATTCTCATGTCCTGTTGATTTTAACTATAGTTTTGTTAATGATATATCGAATTGACATAACAGGTGAAAGAATTAGGGTTACCAGTGATCATACTTGGAGAAGGACGAGTAGCAGGAACTATTTGGTGGGACGAATTGCTGGAAGCGGCCGAGCGAGCTAGCAACAATGGGATCGAAAGCGTGGTGAATCAAAGCGACCTATGTGCTCTTCCATTTTCGTCTGGGACCACGGGGCTTTCCAAGGGTGTAATGCTAACTCATCGGAATATCGTCGCCAATTTGTGCTCTACTCTCTTCAGTGTTGGCCCTGAACTCATCGGAAAGGTGACGATATTAGGTCTAATTCCTTACTTCCACATCTACGGACTCACCGGAATCTTGTGCGCTACGCTTAAAAACAAAGGGAAGGTGGTGGTGATGGGAAGGTACGATCTGTCGACGGTTTTGAAAGCGCTGATCGAGCATGAAGTAACTTTCGCGCCAATTGTTCCGCCGATTCTTTTAGGCTTGGTTAAGCATCCGATCGCCGAAGATCTTGAAAAGCTCAAACTCCGATCGATCATGACAGCTGCGGCGCCTCTTGCACCGGAGATTTACGAGGAATTCCAAAAGAAATTCCCTCAAGTAGAAGTTCAGGAGGTAATGAAGTAAACGGAAACACAAAAATAACTATAAATTAGACACAAAATATTTTCTTCCGATTGTGGGTTATTTTCAAAATTCTTTTAAAATAGTCAATCTTATTAATCATATTATTTTTTATCATCAAATGCTCGTTTTAGCTAAATTAGAAGGTAAGTGTAAACCAAGTTTCAAATTAACAAGATTTGAAAATCTTGTTAAGTGGTCTACACAAATTGAAAAAGATTAAAAAAAAAAAAATTTGCAAAAAAAGGGTTTTTTTTTCCTTATGGATTTTGCTAAATATGTGGGTTTTTTTTTGTGATAATTCATAAAAATTAAGATCCGTTTATCAATCGCTTACCGGAAAAATTCAACACTACAACTTACTTACCGGGTAAAATTTTAGTCCACTAAAACGGTATCGTATAAAACAATTTACCTAATAAGTGTTAACCATGGTAAGGGTCATCGTCTTCATTTACCGGGTATAACTCTCGATCCATGCATTCGTTCTTACCAAATAAGATTATTGGTTTTGTCATACTCATCCGATTAGGTAAGGTAACTTGGTAAGTGTTTAACCCCCCGGATAAGTGTTTAATAAATGATCCCTTATACTAGTTTCACTTTGTGAATATCTTAAACGTGTGTAATGTCTTGATTAATTAAGTGACTGCTCCAATTAATTAATTTGATTATACTGTATAAATAATCGATAGGCTTATGGCATGACGGAGCATAGTTGCATAACGCTAACCCACGGAGACCCAAGAAAAGGACATCACATAGCGAAAAAACGATCGGTTGGCTACATATTACCCAATCTAGAAGTGAAGTTTGTTGATCCGGATACAGGTCGTTCTCTACCTTCAAACACCCCAGGAGAAATATGTGTTAGAAGTCAATGTGTCATGAAAGGTACAAATGAAATATTAAATCTCACATCAGATTCAGTTTAAAAAAGAATATGAATTGATATGATGATGAATTAATTAAGGTTATTACAAGAATGAAGTGGAGACTGCTCAAACAATCGATGAACATGGGTGGCTTCACACCGGGGACGTTGGGTACATTGATGAAGAAGGTGATATCTTTATCATTGATCGTATGAAGGAGTTAATCAAGTACAAAGGATTTCAAGTAAGTTTTTACTAATTAATTCAAACTTGAATTAACTAACAACTAATCTATCTATGTTTTGATTGACGAACGGATACAGGTTGCACCGGCTGAATTAGAAGGAATACTTCTAGGACATCCTTCAGTGGAAGACGCAGCAGTCGTGGGGTAATTCTAAAAAACACGTGTGAAAATATAGTGTTTTTCTAAAGGGTGTCCCAGACTAATTGTGACTGTAATAAATCAACCACAAATAACTCTGTGGTCACAATTGTTGCGTACGTCTGGAATCGAACCATGAACAGATGAGAACACATCCTCTAGGATCTCAATCACTACGCCACAACCCATTATGAAAATGAATTGTCTATACAGTGTTGTTTCATATGTGAAAATTCAAAAAAAAATTCTTATTGTAAGAAAAATCTGTCTTGAATGTTTTACATATGAAACAATAGTGTATTTTTACATATGGAATAACTTTATAGTTAAAAAGGTAGTTTTATAATGGAATTTGATGGATTGATGTAGGTTGCCGGATGAAGAAGCAGGGGAGATACCAGGGGCAAATGTGGTAATGTGTAAAGATGCAAAAGAGAGTGAAGAAGAGATGATGAAGTACGTTGCTCACAATGTAGCACAATACAAGAAGGTGAGGGTGCTTCATTTTGTAGACAAAATACCAAAATCACCCTCCGGTAAGATCATGAGAAGGCTCATCAAAGACGCCATGTTGGACAAGATTACCAAATCTCAATCTTCTGCTGTAGCACAATAAACATTTCACACAATCCACAACCAATAATCTAATTACGTAACACTTGCTTTTATCAAAAAAATGTATTACATTTCAATAAAATGATACATATTTCTATGGGTGACTGCTTATTCCTAACAACCCAAACTATGATGATTCCATTTGCATCAAAAGCCAATTATAATATTTTTAAAACGTCAAAAGCTATTGTTAAACTCGATGATTAATATTCTAAGACGGCATAAATAAATTAGTACAAGTATGGTTAATGATAACTGACTGTTCTCAAGAACTCGAACCCGAAACAACTAAATATTAATCATTACATTCCAGGATAAATATTAACTGAAAACATAGATCTTAGGTTTTAATTAATATAAACTATTATATGTAAATTTATCATTAAGATGCTCAAATAAAGGAGTTTTTTTTTGAAAGGCAAAAGGAAGGGTAATCAAATAAAGTCTTGTTAGTTTTATTTGTTTTGTGTTTTAATAATAATATCTTTTGTCCTTGATGACTTCTTGTGACAATTTCAAATAAAGGAGTTTTACATAAACAGTTTTATTTAATAATTTAATCCTAATCCACATCGTGATCTAAGTAAAGCCCGGCAAAGCATGCCCACGTATCTTCCATTTACTAAAAACAAGGTTTTGCTCACACATAAAAACGAAAAAGTTTACATTTCTATTTTTAACATCAAACCCCAAAAGCGTCAAATGCTTGGTGTCTTTTCACAACTTTTATAGAAAATTTTATCATTTAGTTAAATATTTTTATGTTTTATTTTAATTAATCAAGAAACTACATTAATTATATATTTATAAAATTGATAAATTTATTTTTAATATATGGTCTCATGGACGAGTCGAAAAGGCAAACTGTATAAACAGAGTTGCCCGTCCACTTCATGGAATTAAAGTAAATTACAAAAAATTTCACGTGGTTATATGAAAATTACAAACATGGTCCCTCAAATAATTAATTACAATTTGTTACGGATTAGATTATTGGGTCTAAAACTTTTGTTTTTACTATGTTAAACTTGATAAATTACTTGACAAAATCATTGTTTGTTATCTCGTAATGTCATTGTCTCCTCGTTCCTACATGCCATTTTTTTAAAAATCAATGACAGTCGGGGGAGGAAGAGATAGGGGATTTGGGGACATAGATGAGGATGAGAGTTTGTAGAGGTGGTGACGACAATTGTTTGTTGTGTAGGGATGCCGGTGAGGATAGTGAAGGGGTGAGTAGGTGAAGGGGAGGGGGTTGATTTAAATTTTGTGCATTTTGTGCTTATCGACACGTTGATCACATTTTTACATATGATTTATAAACTTATGCATTGAGAAAAAGTAGTTGAAGAAAAGACAAAAACACTTCCATTTAATGAACCTAAAATTAATGGAGTTAGAAGGAGGGAGTTGATCATGATAAAAATGAAAACCACAATAATCATCCTGCCAAACTATAAGAGTTGTGACGTAGTGGTTGAGGTTCTGGAGGATGCAGCGAAATATCTCATATGTTTATGGTTCAATTCTAGACGTACATAATAATTGTGGCTATTGAGTTAATCATGACTAATTTCTTGCGACCATAAATCACCATGATTAATATAAACATATTTCAAAAAAATAACCATCCTAATAATTTTGATATAACTATAATTTACTTTAAAAGATTACAAAATTCCAAAAAAAAAAAAAAAAGCAAAAAGAAAAAACAGAAGAAGTTAACCTAAAAAAGTCTGTCTAGCGAGTACATCTTGACATTATTATGCGGACCTTTGTACCTGATTTTAACTCACCCGCCACTTTCACACCCTTTCTGTAGATTTGCATTTTGATCCATCTCTAAATATAAAATTCGTTTTATGCCCCCAAACCAAAATTAACTTATATTTTACAACTCCAATAACTTTGGTAATATAAACTCCGATAAAAAATTGATTATCGTCAACCTTAATTGATCTTATATAGGATCTTCTTCTAAAGACAACAATACGAGAAAACATTTTTTGACTCACTCAACGGTTAGGAGTAACAAAGGGTCCATAATGGAACCCGTAACCTGTCTTTTTATTTGAACAAAATTTTCCTATCATTTGCCAACTTGGCAATTTAAATCACAATGAAAAATGAAAGCAATTTGAATGAAACTTAACTAAGAGATTGTTTGGTTCAAGTAGGAGAATGAAAATTTGGACAAAAATAATGATAACAAGGAATAAAACATTTTTATTCTCATCGGTTTAACCTCAAATGAAAATTTGAACTTCTAAAAACTCATTATATTACATAAAACCAAATAATTTCTTTTATTATTGATTGTTGTGAAGTAGTTCTAACCAAACATCCTCAAATCATATGTCAAAAAATTTATTTGTAATTAGTCCTATTATCTACAGTAAAGAATCGTATGTTAACGAAAATTTATCATGTGTTTATATATGAGTCGTTCTAAATGAAGTATAGTTATAGTATTATGATTTATATTTAATAAAAATGGGTATTGATAAATGTGTTAAAAAATATTATAAAATGATAATTTTATAATTTAGAGGGACGAAAGTGCAAATTACAGTTTGCTTAATATTTTTTTTGCTCCCTTCCCCACAAACACAGTAAAAAAGCTGTGTGTGGACAACCCCGCCATTATTATACTCTCTCAACCTGCTTTTTTCTCTCTCTAACTTTCTTCATTTGGTAAAGTAAAACTCCTCCGATTTTCCTTCACTTTCGTGGAATGTTGCAGACTCTACCCCTGATCGGTAAGCTCTCATTGCTATATATACATATATATATATATATATATGCATACACTCACACTCATACATGCATTACAATCTTCTCATTTTCAGTTTTTTCTCCTCAAGTTTTTGGGAATTCGTAAGTACAGACGTTAGGAAACGTGCATTTTTCAAGCCGATTCAATCATTCTGATTAGTATTATTATTATTTTTTTAGTCGTTGTTTACTGTTTCAATTTAGTTCAAAAGTTAGGATTTCCCGTTTTGGAAACCCTAGCTTTGGAATTTACCATATGTTTTAAAAAAAAGGAATTGTATTCGATGGTAGTTATCTTACTTGTATTAGTGAATGATTGTTTATTAATATTAATCTACTAATGAATCCTTTCAAATGTGCATGAATAAGTGAAAATTCAAATGAATGAATTAGTTTCTATATGGTTTGAGAATGTAAATGATTTCTCCCTTTTTCTATTACTTCCTAGCTAGGGAAAACGACGTTTCAACGTCAGGATCAACCGATATCTAATCGAACTGCGTAGTATTTTTACTTGTTCTTAAATGCTTTCCATATATGATGGGGGACCGTCGTTATTCTGTCATGCAATGTCCGCACTGTATTGTGTTGTCTGGATGCTAAATACACCCTCAAGTGTTGAAAGATTCGAATCAATACTTTCTCAAAAATAAACCAGGTCTGTTCTCCTGTGTATATATTCAAGGACACAGCCGAGTGCAAAAGAGTCTAATGGTTCGGTTTTGGTACTCTGGTGGGAATGTTTGAAAATAATCCAACACTTCTTGGTCGCTACTGTTGAGTCCTATTCACTCTGTACTTTGTATTTGTTGTCCCTTTGGGAAGAAAGTAAAGGGGGTTCTTTTATAAGATTCCTCTTTTTCTTTTCTTCTTTAATTTCTCTCTTTCAATTATTGGGGTTAGATACAGAAGAAAACAAAACCAAAGAAAAAGAGAGAGACTTTTCGTCACCATATTATCATGGAAGCTTATAATCTGTAAAAGTGTTATAATTTCGCCATAAAGCTTGCAGGAAGTTTGGGAACATTCCACTTCATCTTATCCACTGAATTCCGCTTGTGTTGTTGTTCACCAAGTAATTGATATTCTACTAATTCCAATTAGACTTTCCCTTTTCTTTCTTTTAGATATCGTGGATGTAAGTCAACTTCCACTTCGTGTAAGAGGACCAAGTGAAAGCATCTGAAGAAATCGTCTCTGGGAAATGGAGTGGAATACGAAGTGGGACTGGGAAAATCTTGATGTATTCAATTCGAAAGGTGCTGCAAGTTCTAAAAAGTTGCAATCGGCTTATTGGGCGATCGGAGAGGGTGAGGACATAGAGGGGTCTTTTAACCTGTCTGGAGTTGTTGCTGGAGATGGAGGTTCTGCATCTGATGTAGGGAATAACTCATCAACAAAGAGCTCAATATCGGCTTCAACGGAATCTTCATTCAAGGATGGTATGAAAGGATCCAATATTTCATTCGAGGGATTTGGATGTTTCCCTGATTCTTATAGCAAAGAGAAAGAGTTTGATAGAGGTGAGCTAAATGTTACTTCTCCTCTAGAGGCTTCAGTTTGTTCTGGTGAACCATTCATTGGTTTGGAACTTGGGAAAAGAACATACTTTGAGAACACTTATGTCAAGAGCAATAACAAATCATCCTCTATCTTGGGTATTCCTGTATCATCTGTATCGATGGGGAAGAAAGTTAAATCATCTTGCCAAAGTACACCTATTTCCCATTGTCAAGTTGAAGGATGCAACCTTGATCTCTCATCTGCTAAGGAGTACCATCGCAAACATAGAGTTTGTGATACTCATTCCAAATGCCCAAAAGTTATTGTGGCGGGTCTTGAGCGTCGTTTTTGCCAACAATGTAGCAGGTCAGCATATGCAACCTTGGTCTCTCCTTGATTTCATCAACATATCCATCTATAATTTCTTTGCAATTGGTATAGATTTCACAGTATGTCGGAGTTTGATGACGAGAAGCGAAGCTGCCGAAGGCGACTTTCTGATCACAATGCACGGCGTAGGAAACCACAGCAGGAACCAAACCAGTTTAACTCAAGGAGTCCTTATTCATCATTCTATGGTACTGAATCCATCTTCGAATTAACTTTATGATCCCCTTAATTATCATGCTCTGTCAGGGGATGTTTGGTTTGGTTTGGTTTGTTTTTCATCAAGGATAAAGTTTTCTGTGCGGATTAATCTGTCTGAATAGATTGGAAAGGTTTTTGTTTGAGATGGGTTTTTTTCATAGATAAAAGTAGCGTGTTTTTTAATTGGGAGGGACATGTTTGGAAAGACTTTGGCTTTCTGCACGAAGCTTTCCCCTAGAAGCTTACTGAATAAGCCATTTTCTGTATCATTAAGTCACTACCAAACGATCATGTGTAGCTTATCGAATAAGCTGCGAGTCATATTTAGCTCATTAAGCTGCTAACAAACAGACCCTTATGCTTTTATATATACAGATACTCATCTGGTTCAAACTAGACCTGCTATAAGTTCTACTTGGGAAAGCACATGCAATTCCAAGTATTCTGTGGTACAAGTGAAAGCTGAAAATTTTGGGGGCTTTGATGTGTTGTCTCATTCTACAGGAGTTCAATTATCAGATGCTCTCAACATGCCTACCCTTGCTCTCAATAGATCGGTGCCATCCAAGGGTGCCAGAGCCGAGATTTTTGATTTAGGTTAGTTTTCTTGCTTTCTCTCTAGATAAGTAATCTTTTCTTCTCCGGAATGCTTGTCATATATGCTACTTGATTAAACAATAATTTGTTTCAACCTGAGAACCACTAGCTGAAGTCGGCAATATATAACTATCAAATTCTATATTGAAACAGAAGCCTACTAATCATGTCTCCGGAGAAGATCAATTCTTAGTATATTCTTATTAGTAGTTGAAATGTTTCTTTCCTAAATTAAGTGCTTTAATAGTAAATGATAGCTTCCGAAAATCATAGCGGATGGTTTGCACAACATTAACCTTAATGCGTCTTGAAAAGATGGTAAGAGTGGCCTTAATAGGAGATGGTAGTGTCTGAAAATTGCAGAAAATGGTTTGCTCTGTGCCAAGAATCATAATGATACTAGGGATAATCGAAAACCTACATGCATGCAGCTTAAAAAGATACCGTTGCTCTAAGTTTGTTATGAAGACCTAGTTTCTGGTGATTTACGTTTAATATGACAAACTTGTAGTTTCCCATCATAATATTTGGCATATGTTGGCCCTTTCACGTGTTGGGTGCAATTTGATGCATATGGCTGGTGTTTGCTCCTTAAGCTTAGTGGCAAAACGAGTGAATTAGGTTTTTAACCATCGTCCTTGTGGTTTCATTGCAGACTAACCTTTATCCTTGCTTAAAGGCAAAAAGAAAGACTACAGTATATGCCCAGATGGCTGATTTCAGGAAATTCCTAACTATTATTTTGCAATGAAACTTCAAATACGATGGTCCATAATCGGTCAATCCAACTTTGTTCAAACAAGTACAATTGTTGGTTTGCAAAAAAAACTACAAATACATTAACCGGAAAGCTCATTCACTCGAGGCAAAATATGATCCCTTGATGTTACGTTGGCTTAGGTTGCAATGTTTAGGGGTTTGCATGTAAAAGGAGGATGGATTCCAGTGAACCCTAACAACAAATGATGGGTTATTCATGACTTTTCTTTTTGAAAGGGTGTCCTGGGCTTTGCAGAGACTAATCCCGGCAGATTGTGACTAAACTCAGTGGCCAGGAATTAGACCTAATTATTCATAACTTTTCATGGACAGACTATTTTAATATAATGTTTGAAAGTATATCAAATATATTCACATGTCAGATAACAACTAGTTTCGTTGTTTTGGTATCCATGTCCGCGTTGGATGACTAGTTTCTTATGCAGGTTTCGAAGAACCGTTGTCTTCGAATGTAGATGCAGTTGATCTTCGACGTGCTCTCTCTCTTCTGTCAAACAATAATAATAGCTGGGGTTCATGCGATCCAAACTCCATAGTGCTCGACCATCATCATCGGATGCAGCATTCAGCTAGTCCCAGCATGCCTCAACCTGCGGTTCCCGCACTTTCTTCCCAAGACTACTGGCAGGCTGATCAGCAGTCCATGGATCCCAGCATTCATGTCAAAACCAATAACCATTTCCAGGAGTTCCAGATTTTCAAATCACCATATGAGAACTCCTTTCTATTCCACCCCAATGGATGATGTATCCAATCCCCTTGAGCTCCATTCTTAGGTTAAAAGATTGGACTGTTGTAAGAACCAAGAGTTGACTTTAGGCTAAATGCAAAGTCAACCCACCACGTAGACTTGATGTTTCCATTGATTCAACATTTTCTTAAAATGTAATTGTGCATTATTACTATAAAACGTTTTGATTAATTAATGCCTTTTTCCAGTGATGATACTTTGGGGAAAATACCCCAACGCCATCAGACAGCAGAAGATACGAGGGAAGGGTTAATTACATTCCTACCTATAAATTTATTTCTTATATAAATTAACATCAAAACCTACTTTTTACCGTTTAAATGTATAAATTGACTTGATTTTAACATCAAGATAGCATTATCCAAATATAAAAGTGTTGTGTTGGTGAAAACATTTAACATTTTGTAGTGTGATGCCTAGGCTAGCTATGAAGCAATTGTTACTGGAGATGTGTCCCATGTTCTATTCCCACAATTTGATGCAACCACAAGGCACATGTGGCTCTTAGGTAGATGCCAAAAATAATGATGGAAGTAGAAAGTAAGTTGGTATTAAATGATCATTGTACCCTTCCTTTCAGTAAATTGAATTATTGCATTGTGTACTTGGATTCTAATCAACTGAAGACGCAAGACATAATGCTCTGACAATTGTTCAAAACATTCACAGTGATTCATAAAGTGGGGTTCCCACTTCCCAATACATTTTGAGGGTTCTTGGAGACCAAGTGGTACATAAAGTCACATGTGTTGATATTTTACCCACATATCCCAACAAAAAGAATTCCTACATCATCCTGATTTTATACATGCATAGATGGAAGATACTATGAGAATAACAATTATGATGAAAACAATGAGTTTTTGTCTTCACTTTCAGTCATTTTTATATATATTTAATCAATCACTTTTGCATGCAGTTAAAGTTTCGATCATGATGATAAAAATAAGTAAATAAAAGTATACAAGTATATATGAACAATTTATTCTCACCTTCACATCATAACCCTACCCCCCCCTCTCTCTCTCTCTCTCTCTATATATATATATATAAAAGATTGAGTTTCAGTAAGAATGAAAGTTATGATGAGAAAGATAAGAAGTGATCTCTATCATTGGATCAATCCTAATTGGAAAAAAAAAAACACTAGATCAACACAGATGAGATACGCTATATTAATCTCTTCTAAAACATAATTCATGGGTTGTTTTGATCAAGGATCCAAATTTTTTAGCTCCTATTATGACACGATACTTGGTCTATGTATATACCCATGTATACAGCCCTACTTGCACATAATTCTAACAGGCAAAAAGAAGACGGTCAATAAATGCATCTTTTGGGTATAATCACATACATGTCTTTCATTAAATATTATTTGAAATACAATAATAACGAATGCAAATAAGTTGTTCGTCATCTAACATGTAAAACCTACTTACCATTTATGGTTTTCTTTACAACTCGCTATTCAGTATTTAATTTGTTTCAATCAAGGTGCAGAACCAAATTAGAATGTTAATTAGCGATTAGGAAGAGATCTTTTGACACCACAAACCTTCGACATCTCAACAATAACAATAACAATAACTGACTACTTTCAAAAACCAAAATTGTTAAGACTGAAATAAACACCCCAAGTTCCAAACAGATAAAAATACCACAAACAAACTACACCTTGGCCCGGCCACACTAACATTAGACTTCGATTGGGGACCAAAACATGAACACGTTAGGTCCGGAAACAAAGAAACCCCCTATATCTAGTACCAATGACAAACAAAAACAAATGAAAAACCAGCACCCAGATCTCGTCAACAACTATCGGACCTTAGACCGACCTAACCAGTCCCTCCAAACCACCCCACATAGAATTAACAAGCAACAATGGCCAAAAAGCCCCTTTTATTTACTGGAAAAGGAAGCTTAAAGACAAATCTATACAACACAAAACCGCAACTGAAACCTTTTCCTCCATCTGGTTCATGTTTTCCCATGTCCAAGCAAGCAAACAAAAAAAACAACTAAAAGACATACAACCGGCCAGAAAAAAAAGGTGATGTTTTCCATTGACCAAATCAAATGCTACTCGGTTAGCAGCTTAACGAGTTTAATAGGACTCTAAAGCTTATTCTGTCAGCTATATATGACGGTTTGGTAGTGGCTTAATGATATAGAAAGTGTCTTATTCAGTAAGCTTCTAAAGGGAAACTTTATGCAAAAAGCCAAGTTTTTTTCCCAAACCTGCCATTCCCAATTAAAAAACATGCTCATTACATATATGAAAAAACCCTCTCAAACAAAAACCTTCCCAATCTATACAGATTAATCCACACAGACAGCCGTATCCATACTGGACTTGATGTAAAACCAACCAAACATCCCCTTATACAACTTCTAACACGAGACACTGATACCATGTTAGGAGTTGAGCAGCAGTTACCAAATGCAAATCAGTGCTGATGTACCACCTACTTGAAAAAATGCAAAAAAAGGTATAATATACCACCTAGAACAGTTACCAGAGCAACTAACCAGAAACATCTCACCACAACATGACGGGAAGGGACACTGTTGTATCTAATAAAAGAAATCCATAGAAAGACCATTAAAAAGATACCAATTTCCATTCAATACAAGTTGACGACACAAACCATAAGAGAGTAACTCGAAAACCGCAGCAACATGAAGAAGACGACGACGACGACATGACCGACTTTCAGACCAATACTGGGCAATTGCTCGACAACTCTGGAACATGTCCTAGTACTCACTGGAACAGTAGATAAATGCAAATTAATAACTGGATGACCACGCCCTTTAACAACAGAAAGTAACTTTGTAGAAAGACTTAAAATAAACGAAAAATGGAAAAGATTAAATGGCAAAGAGAAGTGCGTGCTCAACGTAGGTAAATGGCTGCCGAGATGTTTCACTTTACATTCACAAAGGGTACAAGCAAATGAAAATAAAAACATTTTCAAACAACATAAGTTTAATTGAACTAAACATATTACAAGACAGACCTGATCATTTTCTTCTGCCTCTTCTGAAGGGGACTTCTGCGATTCTGATGGTTTCTCAGCACCACAGTTTTGTCTGTTACATTTGGTTCTAAATGGGTAGTTTATGTTGTTACATTTATCACACTTCCAGCTCCCATCAGGCATATCTGGTTCTGAAACAGAATAGGCACACACATAGATTACGAATACCGAATATGACATGTTATATACAGAAAACTAGCAAAGTATAGGAAAATCAACTTACTGGAGCTCTTGCCTGGCTTTGCAGCCTGCAAATTTAAACAGCAAAGTTTCACAGTCAGTCATTAGTAGCATATGTAATACAAAATGCTTGAATACCATCAAACAAGAAACCGACATGCCACGGATATACTTTAACACAAGTCTAGTAAAATAAAGCAAAGAAAATAGCTAATACCTGAGCTCCTGGTTTTGGAGTATTACACTTCCTCATGTTACAAACTGTCCTAAATGAGAAATTGACATTTCCACATTTAGGACATTTCCAGTCGTTGTCACTTTTTCCATCTACGTGTTTTGAAGGAAAGAAGAACATTAGTTAACGAATAAATCCTGTGTTTGTCTAATGGTTTAAAGCATATGAAATAATCATTTATCCAATACCTTTCTTTGGAACCTTCTCCTCAGGGTAAAATCCAGGCCGTGGTCCCTATTGAGTTTCAAGGGTCAAACCGATCAATTCATGATATAGTGTAATCTTAAAGCATCAGTAGAAATGCTTTTATCTTGGTATTCAAATGACAAAAGAAAAGTTGTTAACCAGAAAAGGGAATTCAATGGAATTCTCATTTAAAGAAAATTAATATATTGCTAGAGACAGATTTCAAATATACCATAGCATTGTGGCCCATGGGCAAGGCCAACCCATATCGGTCCATTAATGGAGGTACGCCATACATGCCACCTGCACAAACAGATGTAAAATGGAAAACATCAAAGCCTCATAATGGAAACACCTAGAGAAGCAAATGCTTTAGAATATGAATGATTAGATACAAGAGAGAGAGATCACAGTCAGCACTCGTCAGCTCAGTATCACAAAATGAAACGTTGAAAAGAGATCCCAACTTCTTGCCAATTATCTAGTCATGCATAAGTGCTACTAAATGATGCAGAAAAAAACATTACATTGGTAGTCAAGTCTTGCACTACATAAAAAATGGGCAATAGTATCAAATGGATGCCAACTATCGTTCCTGAATAAAAGTAAACAAAACTATCAAATGTAGAACTATTAGAATGACACATACCATCATTACCTATCATGGATCCACCAGAGTAGGGGGGTGGAGCAGAAAGGTGTAGTGGTCGATAAGGGCTACCTCCAGAAATACGACTTCCGTAATTATAATGATAAGCAGAGCCTCCAGAAAATGGAACATCATAAGGAGGCATGGATGATCCATTGAACAAAGATGAACCATAAGGTGGAACGCCAATATACATTGACGAAGGAGCACCAGGACCAACATAAGGAGCAGCAGAAGAGTAGGCTTGTGGGGTCTGCATTGGCTTTGGAGCAGATTTCTGTACATGCAAATTTGGTAGTACCATTATGCTAACAATATGATACGTGGTAACCATTATATGAAGTTAATAAAATAACTCAACCTCACAGTTCATACATAGAAATATTCATAATCCTAATAAACTTTTACAAAATTTTGACACCAACTGTTTCCCTTTTAATACCAATACCAGTATGGTGTGATGTAGTTATCATCGTCTATCTTCAAAAGCAACTATAACTTATCAGTTCCAAGTAGCATGTCTGATCTCAGAACATTCATGTCATGGCATTCTGCAATGATGCACTCAAAGGAAAAAAAACAAGTGCCATGCGCGTCATTCTTGGATACAGTGCATGACACGGAGACAGTCTCCTGAAATACTTCAATGTGTCCCTAAATTAATTTTATTTTTGCATTCAGATCTTAAATGCTGAGAAAGAAAATTTTGAACTGGTACATTGTTCGCAGGTAAACGCAATATGGAAGAAATCATTATCAATCGATACGTTTAATTTTTGTATTACAACTTACAATGTGACTTAGAAGTATACAATTAGCACAAATGTATTATTAATTATACAAATATTATTAGAAACCGGAAAGATTATGATGTTCAATGTTACTTCATCAGTCAACAAAGTAAGTGATGGTGTTTGATGTATTATATATATATATATATATATGTATATCCATTCATCAAAAACTTGCAAGTTATAGTCAGCTAATTTTTCTGTCAAACTAAAATGGATGTGATATCAGTAAATGCAATTTATCATTTGAAGTAAAGCAAGCTGCAGTCACTCATGTTATATCCACTTTAGAGAGGGAAAGTTAGATAACTATTACTTACAACAAGTTTCTTGTACGAAATAACAATGAATGAGTGCATATATAAACATGTGAATACATTAAAAAACATAAAAACATCATACAATATTACCTACTATATTGACCAATAAAGTAACATAGTAAGCTTAGAAAATGATGTCTGGTGCTTGCACCAAGGCACTATCTCTGTTGGTGCCAAACTTACCCTACATGCATAACTACTATAGTTGCAACATCCCTACATGCATAACTTGGACTCACCATTTTAAAACCCGTTTGATAGAGAAGGTATTCAGTTCCTTATAAGGCAACCTTTGTTCCCCTCCCCAACCGATGTGGGATCTTAAAATAGTACTATGATAGACAAAGAAAGGGAGGCAGAGCAAGTTGCAACTGGTGACATCATTAGTTATTTTTCCGTTTTATATGCAAGTCAATGAAATAAAACATTACTTATCTGCATCACAATAAATACCAACCAATAAATAAAATGCAACACTTATCACAAGCTCCCCCTTCAGTGAAAAGGAGAAATTATCTACAAATATTTTAATAGAAATAAATGTAGACCGTACAGAATTATGATCAGCTGGCCTAGGTTGTGTACAGTTGCGCATATTGCAAGTTGTCCTGAAAGAGAAATTGACATTTCCACAGCTGGGGCAGGTCCAGTCATCTTCTCTACGACCACCTAATATCATAAACAACTCCAATAAAGACATCTGTAGTATTGGGAACTAGATAATGTTGGAAGAAACCATTACAACACGCCTCCTTTAACGCAGGGTTTAATTTTCAGAACCTGGAAACTTTTTTAAATTATGTATCATAATTAAAGAAAGCCTGTGGTTTTACTAGATTGAAATAAAACAACTTTCTATAAATATATACTTTAACAACTTGCGAGTACACCTATTGGTGTCTTTAAAAATAAAATTGCATATCATGGACCTTGAAGCAAAATCAGATCAAATCTTGAACCAAAGGACATCCAATATCATTGCAAATCCTTTGAGATCTAAGGTCCTAAACACTGGCTTACATCAGAGAAAGCTTGTAAACAGTTATCAACTTTTGAGACGCCAATGTGAATTGAAACACCTTCATCACATATGACATATCAACAAAGAAACACTAAGTTACAAGAATATGCATACAGCATGCTCCCCTTTTCCTGTAACTAGAGTCTACTCTAAATTTAAAATATCATTTTGAACAATCAAAATTTGCGTAGTGGTTTTGGTTTACGATCCCAGAATGTTCTCTACTGAAATGCTTTTTCATATAAGAATGTGGCTATTTGGTTGTTCCCTTATAACCCAAAGCAATTCCTACCAATTTAGAAGTTAACCTAACCCGTTCAACACTTAGAAAAAAAAGCCAAAAAGGGACTCCAATTCAGGGACAAAGAAAGAAAGCAACAACATCGTCCTAAGGATAAACCCTTCACATAGTCAACCACTGACAAACAAGCAAAATAAACAAGAAAAAAAATGAACAAACAGTGGAATAAACAAACGCTTTAACAATTGGGCATACCATCAGTTCTGGCACGTTTGGCCGCCGAGGAGTTTCTGTTATCAACCTAAAACCACATAACAAACAAAAACAAAACCAAATCGTATAAAACACAGGAAAAGCATGAGAGTTGGGATTAAAAAACCTAATATTTATTTCTTAAATCTGCGAAAAAAAGGTATTTGGATCGAAAAGGATAATAATCGAGTTCAAAATTTTAGATCTTGGTATAAAATTAGTGATTGATTTGAGGCTCTAGACGGAGATTTACCTGAGACATCACGATAGCGATCGGAGAAATTCGTTGAATTGGCTATGAAGAAGGGACTTGGTGACAGGGAGGAAGAGGAAGAGGAGAGTGACGAAATTGCTGGAGATCAAATAAAGGGTTCACATCGGATCAAGCCCCAGCCCCAGCCCCAGCCCCAGCAATGTTATGTTACTATCCGATACAAGACCATGGCCCAATGATGTTTCATGTAAGTCCGGCCCGATAGTTTAGCCCATTTAATTTCCAACAGCATTCATACATTTTTTACCTCATTGGGAATTGGGAATTGGGAATTGGGAATTGGGAACTGGGAAGAATGAAAAGATTTTCCCGTGTGAGGTACAAACAGATTTTTCTAGTTCTTTTTTTTTTAATAAAAAAAAAAAACCTACAATTAATTGTGACAAGCCAAAACCTAGGTATATATAACTATTATAGACTGACTGATAAGCTCTTTTCCTATTTTTTATATTTCAAGAAAATCATAAGGTTTTTATAACATGTATCAAGTATGAAATTTCATTTAAAATATTTATTATCATTTGTTTAAAATACATGATGTAACTGTCAAGTTTAATATATCTAAAACTTTATATCAGCTTTATTTATGGTTTAAGTAGGGGCGAAATTAGCCATAAATAAGACTAAGTTATGTGATCCAAAAACTATTTTAAATTTTTTTATTTATATTTTTAAAATTGTAAAAAAGAAAAATGGAAAAGACAATTTTGACTACCATTTCTACATTCAAGTGCACAAAACAGGTGTTAATAGGTTTGAATATTCTAAACTACGATTGAATTGCTCAATTGAGCCTGTTAATCAGTGTCCAATATGTTTTATCTAGGCGTAACATTGGAGTATATAAATAGACAAGTGTTTGAATCTAACAGTTGTTACAGTATAAGAGCTTCAAGTCGTTTAGGAACTCTCGTATCACTATCATTATATACATGTTTCGTCTCTGGCAGTGGCATATGATGATATTAAGTAAGAAGAGCATGAACTTAATACATTTCAATAAAAAAAAATATTCTCAAACAAATGTACGTCGTATTTCAATAGAAAACCAAAATAACACCATTAACACGAAATTAAAAAAACATTATTATGGAAAAATCAAACTACCAAACATTATCCAATTTAAGAAAAGGTCTCGAGTAACCAATGCATCAAACAAAGACTAAACCACAAACCATGGACAAGATAATAATTAAGCACCAAAAGCCAAGCCATGGACCTAATTAAGATCTTAGCCATCTAGGTTCGGAAATAAAAGGTTTGTAGCTAACAACAATGTTACAGGAATGAAAATGGAAGCTACAACCAGCGGTGCATCATACTTCACCGCATCTGAACGGGACGACGACGTTGACGATGGCATTCCTCCGGCCGTCGTAGGGACGATCGAACTATTACTAGTGAATATGGCCGCATCCGGTGAATTTGCTGGTAGCTTCAGAAGCCCTATCATTATTTTCATATTATAAAGATTAAAAATAAAAATTATTATTCATTAATTAATAAACACTACAACAAAATTGATTTTATAGGATGTAAAAAATGTAGAAACGTTCTAAAAAAAATGGGTTCATATAACATTTTTCAGAAGTATCATAAAAAATAGCTAATAAAACATTTTATTAGAAACGATTTAAAGAATATGTTATAGAACAACTGAAAACATCCAATAAACCTATTGTAATGCTTTTAAATATGACGTTTAATTTTATGTTTTGGTCTTACGAATAGGGGTGTAAACTAATAGAATTGAGTCAAGTAGCATGTTATTCCAGCTCGACTCGAAAAAAGAATATCAAGCACTCGAGCTCAATTAACTTTTTCAAAGTCAGATTCGAGCTCGAGTTCAAATATTTTTTCAATGTTTGAGCTCGAGCTCAATGCCCGTTTTTAAGCTCGAATTTGAGATCAATTAACTTGTTTATTTACTCAAGTTCGAAGATTTTTATATTTGATTATAAAAGTTGTAAGCATATAAATATATTTGGTTCGAAAATATGTATGTTTGAACGGCTCAGCTCGTGAAGTTAGTCGAGCTTTCGAACGAATCGAGTTCGAAAATATATATGTTTATAACCTTAGTTGCTTAGGAACTAAATTCTATAAAGTATTTTATTAGAACTTGAAACTGTTAAAAGAAGAGAGAGAGTAATTAATTACTTGGGCAATCGGTGATGCTGGCGTTAGCGATCTTACACGCCGCCGGCAGCTGCAGAAGGCGGCTCTCTTGAATCTTCATCTTTTGCAAAGCTGGATTTGTACCGTTATGAATCTGCTGTATAACAAAACATAGACACGCTGGATTACTATCTTTCATCTCCTTCACCGAGTCACAGCATTTCTGCTGCGGCGCAGCCTCTTTTCCGGTGGCAAACGCCACACACGTCATCACCGCCGTCAGCTTCGACGCACACTGCTCCCCTAACGACTGCTCCGCCGCCGTCACACCACCACTCATCCACACCACCGTGATCAAAACAGCAAATCCATTTTTGATCCACATTTTGGAAATTGTTGCAGTTTTTGTGTGATTAAGTTGGTTTTTTCTTGTATTTTATCTAGGAATGGAGGGATGGTTTAATAATTGACGAGAGGTTGTTGCAAGAAGTAATGGCGGTGACAGCAGGTGGTTGTTGTCATTTATTTGCTTCCCGTTAAATGAGTTTGGATGGATGAGTTGTCAACTCGCTAGTCTATCCACGTCACCATGCATTAAACTTTCATAAATATTTCTTTAGGGTGCGTTTGGTAGGCAGAACAGGGTGGGACAGGACAGAACAGAACACACTTGTACCATGTTTGTTATGGTTTTATGTGGGACTAACTGGAACTAACTAGAACAAGGGTGGGACAAGGGAGTCCACCCTTTACCCCTGGAACTAACTAGAACAAGGAATTTTTTACCCCTTTACCCTCAATCCCTTCCACCGTCTTCTTCCATCGTACTTCACAGCGTCTCAATCGGCGACCCTCCATCGCACACCCTCAATCGGCGACCCTCCATAGCACAGCCTCAATCGGCGACCCTCCATCGTACACCCTCCATCTCGACAGCCTCAATCGGCGACCCTCCATCGCACAGCCTCAATCGGCGACCCTCCATCGTACACCCTCCATCTCGACAGCCTCAATCGGCGACCCTCCATCGCACAGCCTCAATCGGCGACCCTCCATCGTACACCCTCCATCTCGACAGCGACGACACCCTCCATCGCACACCCTCCATCTTGACGGCGACGGGAGTTCTAGTCCATACACACAGTCTGCCTCCATCACATTACCTTCTCCTTCATCAGGTACATGATTGCCCTAACCTTCTCCTTCTCCATCGCTATGTTTGAATCGATTTAGGGTTTGCTAGGTTTGAATCGATTTAGGGTTTATGCTAAGAGGATTACAGCAACTACATTTTTACCAGCTTGTTTATGCTAAGAGGATTACAGCAATCGATTTAGGGTTTACATTGATTATGATTGCTGAATGTTGTTGTTGATGAATTGGTTTACATTGATTATAATTGCTGAATTGATTATGATTGCTGAATGTTGTTGTTGATGAATTGGTTTACGGGGTAAATTGGTCATTTTAACCAGTTCTGTCTTGTCCTGTCCTGTCTTACCAAACGCTGAACAGCTGTCCTGTCCTGTCCTGTCCCGTCCTGTCCCGTCCTGTCCTGTCCAGTCCTGTCTGCGCACCAAACGCACCCTTAAAGAATTTATTGTATCAAAATGTTAATCCAACCGTTCAAATTAATATTATTATTTTATATAAGTCACATCAGCCTTAAAAAAAATCTTTTTTTATATGAAATATGCATAACGTGTGATAATAAAGAGTTAAGTGGAAATACTTATATGTAAAAGTAAATTCGGATTCTTATCAATTTTAATCTTAAATTGAATTTCAAAAATGAATTGATTTGGTACTTCCTATTAATGTTGATCTATTAAAATTCTTCAATTATGATTGATTCAATAATATAAATATTTTCTTTCGTTCTCGCATAACTCAATCCATGGATGTTAAGATAAATATTCATAACAAAAAATGCTTAATTATTGCATTTTTTTAGCTTAAAATGACAATTTTATCCTTAATAAAAAATAAACGTTTCCGTTTAAAAGTAAGTGCTTATTTTGAGACAAATTAATATAATAATACAGTCATTTATTTTAAAACAAATGAATAATGTTGTTCAGAAAACACTCGGTTGATTGTACTTTCCAAAAATTAACAAGGAAATTATAGTTACATAGACAACAACATTAGGAGTCAAATTAAATGCAACCATCTAACAATTAATGTCACCTAGTTGAAACTAAATGTACGAGTATCAACATAATCATGAAAACAGTTCACAAAATGATAACCATACTTGTATCTCGATTATTGGACGGTTAATCTCGATAGTAGGTGTAATGGACCATGGCTTGTACGGGTTCTTTTCATATTTAGTTTAGTCATAATTTCTATATGAAAACTAATAAAGATTGTAATGGAATAATTTTTATATGTCTAGCTGGTCACTGATAAATTTGTATCTCAATACAATCTTATTTAATGTGTATTTAAATTATGTTAAAATTTTAATATAAAAAAGCATGAAATTTAGCTACTTAAATCATTTAAATAAACAACATAACTCTAAAATACTTTGATTGTTTACATCATTTGAAGCACATCTATTCTAGGTGCTTTGATTGTCAAGACCCCAAACTTCAAAATACTTCATATGATATATCACTCTTTTAAAAACCATTAGTTCAAAGCATAAAAAAGCTTAAATATATTGAATTTTATCAAACACTATTTCCTACTTCGACTAAGAACAAATTATTTTAAAAAATGTAGGTATTTTCGAATCGAAAATATCTAAGCCTTAACATTCTTTGTTCCCTATATTAAAAATCATAGGTTCCAGGCAACGTTAACTATTTTTGGAGAATAAATTATAATGACACGGTGAAACAATTTTGTCATATAAATCATGCCTAGTTTAAAAATAGTTTCGATTTTCTGACCACATATTGTATTGTGGTTGAATAGTAAAACAAAAACCACTAAACACGAACATTTATAGTTTTCTTCTAAAACACATAATCTTATGTTAGACTGATCATATATCAAACGTGATGATACCATTATTACCTCATGTCATACAACATCCACTCTTTGATCTGAGCTACGAGGATCCATCAAACATATTTCGAGTACAACATTACATTATTATTTATATCGATGTTTCGACGTACTTCGAACCTTTCAAATGTTATTCCAATTTAATGGTTTAATTATAGTCATACTATGTATTGGCAACTTTTAGTTATATAATTTCACGCCCAAAAAACGAATCTTAGGAGTTTCACGATTAGATAAACACCTGCAAATGCAATTTAGACAATTAAGACAAGTCCCTAATTCAATTTCAATCCAAGTCCATGTCCAACTATAGCATTTTTAATCTTCATGGCCCAATAATATGAAGTAAAAAAGTCCATTAGTAAATAGCCCAATATATCGGCCCAAAATCAATATCAATTCACCAGCAGTTGACAGTGACACGACTTCTTTTATTTCGCTTGTCGGCCGAACCCACAGAACAGCAATATCACAATATGTTTAGCGAGGTTTGTTTTTCCATTTAATTTTTTAATTAAATTATCGATATAAATTAAGTTGATATTTGTTTTATGATATCAAATATGACATACATCATTATTTTATGCTTTAACTTAAATGAGTCATTTGGTTTATAGTTGTAATTATTAATCCGGTTATTTTAATTTGGTTTTCGGTTATCTTTAAAGATGGAAACTTTATCCATTGGAGCGGGTATCTATGGGTACCCGACCTTAATGGAGCAAGGATTTTCCGCTTTGACAATTAACAAGACGGGAACGGACGTTTATTTGTATACCTGAAAGGGGGTTGGAATAGCATTATCCGCCCCTAATCCAACTCTGATTAACATTTTTTGTTAAATATATGTATATAATGTGTATAAATAAACAAATATATGTATGTTTGTAAACATTTAGTACCATAACAAATATATTCGATTTTTAATATTGGTAATTAATGTAGTGACAATTTATTATTATTTTAATTTTAAATGACATTGTTTTTTTTAACTAAATGGGTACCCAATGGGTTCCCCGAACCCATTAGGGATTAAATGGATCGGGGATGAGGGGCCTAAACAATCTCGGGACTGGGGACGCATTAACCGCCCAATACTTTTCTCCTTTTCCATCCTCACTTATCTTATTTGGTTCATGTTAAACTGAATATATTTTATATTTATAATAATCTTATTATTATTATTAACAATTTTTGTTATTTTTAGACAAATAAAACCATTATTAAGCGTATAGTTTCATCTTTGGTTGTTTTTAAATTTTGGTTATCGGTTAATTTTATAGGGTTTTTCTTAGACCGAATAAAAATTACATTTTCAGTTTTGTTGTATTTTCTAGATCAACAAGCTACAAAATTAGGGTTTCTACTGAGCAACTATCAAGCTATTATCAATTAAGTTATATCGAGTTGATATTTTAACAAGTTGCTTATTTTAAAAAAAAAATACATCACGGTAATTTTGAGTTTCTATCAAGCCAAGATTGTGTAAGTAGCATCACACAATCACGAGACTAACGTTTTCACTCGAAACGCCATGATTTTCTTTTTGAGTTCCTTGTTTATTTAAATTACACAATTTGAAAATTTTTGGGTCGATTTCGTACAATCACATAACTATGAGAACATGACTTTTATTTGTAACTCACATTGAAATGCTTTTTAATTTTTCAAATTTACATGCTAGCAAAATTTGGGTTACCATCAATGTGGGGGTGTTATTAGTGTGAATCCAAAAAAAAATTCTCCTATACCAAGAATTGTATCAGTTATAACTGGTAAAAAGATCAACTACTAACATCTACGTTCACATATTTTGAAATGAGCTGCTAAATTAAGTTATAGTTTAGATGAAGGAAGTATGACCGTTTTATCAATAATTGAAACCCAATCGGAAAACCATCAAAGTCTTTATATCAATTGAATTGGTTACCAATAACTTTAGTTGGTACACGTTGAAAATTTATGGTTGTAGGTGTCTTTTTATATTAAAGAAGTAATCAAAATCAATATTGACAAAATGAACAATATATTGATAGTGAACAAAAAAAAATAAAGAACTAATCAGTGAAAATATCAGAAAACATGTAGATCAGATTTCAACGCACATACATCAAATATAAGAATAGGATAATCACCAAACACAGAATAAACACAATGATTAAAAAAAATGTTTCCATTATATAAGCATCAATAAAACCATCTTTAAAGAAAATTATAAATTTTACTTTGATTTTTTTTTTTTAAGCATTTCCGGTTGCTTGAGTTGAGGGAGTGTGATGGAGTTGGAAATTGTGTTTACATTTCTACAAGAAAATAGACATAAAAAAGGGAGAAATTGGGAATGGTTAAAGAATAAAAAAAGCATTTTCTTGATATATACGTTTTTTATAAATATAATATAAATGTAAATTATTTGAAAGAATGTTATTTTGCAGAGAGAAACCACGAGATTTAACTAAATTAAAATTAATAAATAAGATTTGTGGGAAGGGAAGGGGTACGTGGCGGCACGTAGTGGAGTCACGGAAATCAAGAAGCCTGTGCCAACATTACTTTGACAAATATACTATTTAATTCCCATCACTCATCCATCTTCAACACGACTTCACCACATATGTAGAAGTAGCAGTATTATTTAGAGTCAATTGCATTTTTCATCCCTCTATTTCACCAAAAATCTGATTTTAGTCCCTCAACTTCATTAATTACATCCTAACCCCTGTAGTTTGACTCGTGGATCTTTTTTTCCCTTACAAATTCCAAGTCAATCTTTTGTTTCGATATAGCACTTCATAGCTTTGATCCTTTTTTTTAATAAATTGTTGTCTTTCTAAAAAGAAAATATTTAATTTAGTCATGATGTAAATGATTATGATAAAATGTAAATATTGTTATTGGTGACCGTAATTAATAATCTTACTACATATTTCATGATACTTATTAATTAGTAGTCAATAGATGTAAATAAAAAAAATTACGAAATAACTTTTAAGACAAAAATAAAAATTTAATTTACAAATTTAATTTATACAAGTTCATGTCTTCGTTGGTTGACTTTGACGCTTCACAAAATGGAGCCATACCTCTTCTAAATGAAACTTGGAACATTTCCACGTACTTTCTTTCTTTATATTTTTATGGAAAAACAAAAATTCAAGTTTAAAAAAAAAACAAATTGCATGAAAAAATAACATACTTTAACTTGATTCTTACTTTGGGTAATGTATTTTTAAAACTTTTTGTTTGATACCTAAGATGTAAAGTTTTAAACATTTAAGTATCTCGAGTAACCAGTTGAAGTATTAACCGATTATGATGAAATTGAGTTGAATAGCAAATAGTATTGAGTTTGATACCACATCACTCGCCACATCAGCATGATAACCGATTAATGCTTCAACCGGTTACTTGAGTACTTAAATGTTTAAAACTTTATATTTTAGGTACCAAAATGAAAGTTTTAAAAATACTTTACTCAAATAAAAATCAAGTTAAAGTACATTACTTTTTTCATACAATTTGCTCTTTAAAAAAATACACCTTCTATACAAGACCAATTGTGCATATTTTTCTCTTATATTTTTAAAAATAAATATTTATTTTCAAACATAAATAACTACTTTTCTATTCAACCCTCTTTATAAGATCAACTATATATATATATATATATATATATATATATATTATTAAGGATAAAATTGTTCTTTGACTGATTAAAAAGTTTAATAATTACATATTTTTAAATTTATATGCTATTTCAACTGTAGACATTTATTTTGGAATGAATATAATATACTTCAACTTCAGTAAATTTTTAATTTTAAGGATTACAATATGAATATTAGGATTAAAATATGAATGCATTTAATTCCCACATTTTTGAACAAAGTTTCTATATGATCCATTCCTAGTCTATGATTTGATGTTGTTGTTGCATTTTGCTTGCTTCAAAATTATACTTTCATATCGTTTAATAGATTTTGCTTTTAATTTACTCAACAAACGAATTTAACAAACTTTTTATTTCCTAAAACATCGACGACTTGCGTAATTATTAATATATCAACACATGCTACGCATCTACGTATTTAGAGTCTAGATTGCCTATATATTTCTACATAAAACAAAAGGACAAACACTATAGTCATGTCTAGTTGTCGATAGTGGAGTAAAAAGACAAGTATGAAAACAAGTGTTTACTCTAAAACAAGATATCGAACGAGTCTTTTATAATCGAGTAACCGGCGATAAAACTAATAAAAGAGCTTTAGTTTAGTGGGGAATAGAAAAGATATTTGAGATGGATACTTTCATCTTTTCTATATTTTCTTTAATTTTTTTATAATAAACACTTTAAAATCTTATTTTTCTTAATGTGTTATAAATCCAAATATATATTATGCATAGAAATATCATCAAATTGTTTTATTCAAAAAATATAATAACTTGCGATGCACGAATCTTTTTAATTGTTTCATTCTTTATAGCATGAAACATCGTGATATATTAACATTTCATACACCCCGGGTTTTTTTAAGCATAATCTTTTAAGTAGATCATATTTTATATAATATAAATGAAATTCATACATAATTTAATTACAAAATTTTTAGGTATATAATATAAATAAAATTCACACATATATCTTAATTATCACCTTTTTATGTATATAATACTTTATATCATATAAATTAAATTCACAAACATACAAATCATTTAAGGAGTGTTTGATTATATATATGTGGGTATATATATATTTGATTATTTTATGTTTATATAATATATAACAGGTTAATTTCCACTTAAATTCAATATTTTATTTCAGATTAAATTAAAAAAGTATAAATCTAATGGTTATTTGTTTACCTCTTAATAATTTCATTAAGAGACAACATTTAAATCGTTAAGAGGTGAATTTTGTTTGACAAAAAAAAAATCGGTCTCTTAATGGTTCTAAAACCTTCTGAATGATTTTGTATCCTGAGCCTCCATTAATCATTCAACGTCATAATTTCATTCTAAATAATTACCAAATAATTCTATTTTATTTTGTACTATATCATGCGAATCTTTTAATGATTCTAACTATTTAATTATTCTACACTAAACCATTTAGCAATGGTCAAACAACGTTTTAATCTTATTTTGAATCTCTGTAATTTTAACATTTAATTTTGCAATTTTAATAAAATATGTTATAGAGCATTTACTCATGAAATCTTTAACGTCAAAAAAACTAAAATATCTAAAACCCACATCCAAAATAGAATGGTCAAGACGAACCAACCAATAGTATTCCAGTCTAACGCCGTTATCTTTTCTTCAACGCGTCTAACACCGTCATCTATATCTCCACTGTCATAAACCCAAATCTTAGATCTTCATATGTCCTTCCCATTGGTCGGAAAACTCAAACACTTCACAAAAAACCATGAAAAATAATCTCCCACACCTCCCTGAACGGCGACTCTTCATCGCCTTATCCGCCATAACTCTCATCGCCGCCGGCCTCCTCGTATTCACCTTCACCGGTCCCGGCAACCGCCGCTTCTTCTGCAATCAACCCATCTCCGATAACTTTCATTCCATGACATCTCCGATTCAACTCAAAGCCATCCTCCACTACGCCACTTCCCGAATCGTCCCTCAACAATCGTTCTCGGAAATCACCATCTCCTTCGACGTTCTCCGATCGATTTCCCCCTGCAACTTCCTCGTTTTTGGGCTCGGTCACGATTCACTGATGTGGGCTTCGTTTAACAGCCGTGGAAGAACGCTGTTTCTCGAAGAAGATCCGACGTGGGTTCAGACGGTGCTGAAAGACGCGCCGGATCTCAACGCCGCCGTCGTTAAGTACCGAACGAAGCTTTCCGAAGCCGATGAGCTTATGAATACGTACCGATCGGAACCGGAATGTGCTCCGGCGAAATCATACATCCGGGGGAATACCCGGTGCAGGTTAGCACTCACGAGTTTACCTGATGAGGTGTACGATAACGAGTGGGATATGATAATGATCGATGCACCGAGGGGTTATTTTGATGCAGCGCCGGGAAGGATGGCTGCGATTTACTCCGCGACTGTGATGGCGAGGAACAGGAAAAAGTCCGGCGTGACGCACGTGTTTTTGCACGATGTTAATCGGAAGGTGGAGAAAGCTTACGCGAACGAGTTTTTGTGTCAGAAGTATTTGAAGCATGCGGTGGGACGGTTGTGGCATTTTGAGATACCGCCGGCGAGTAACGTGACCGACGGCGGTTGGTTTTGCTAGGATGATTGGTAGGAGACGAGTGTTTTTGGACTTTTTAGTAATTTATTTTTATTTTTATTTTTGAAATCTCTATACCATTTGCGTCTATTTGCGTTCATTTTGAAAAATAAAAGGCTCCAGTTTAATAGATGAATACATGTCCCTTTTTAATTAAAGTAAATCCTTATTAAATATAAATACCGATGATAACTTATTAGCAAAAGGAAAAAAGAATTACTTTAAGTTCACAAGGGGTAAGGAATATTCATGAGAAATTAAAAATCTTAGCCATTTTTTTTTTGAAAATTTTAAAAATATCACTATCTCTTTGTAAATGGTACATCCCTAACTTGTGAAGACGTTAAAAGATAAAAAAAAAATAAAAAATCAATTTTCATTCACTTGCGAACGTGTGTGAAAAGTGAATTTTTTTTTTTCAAATATCATCTGTTTGTGAAGGTGTTTTTACGCATTTGAGTGAAAATTGATTTTTTTTTGTCTTTTAGCTTTTTTGCAAGCATCAAGGTTGCACTTGTAGGGGTAATGATATTCTTTTTGAAATTTCTAGGAAAAAACGGTTGAGGAATTAATTTAGTCCATAAAAATAACTATTTCCTTTGATTTCCCTATTCATCATCCCTTATTTCGTAAAACCTTTTCATTTTGAACTAAAAGATACATATTTATTAACATGATTATATATATATATATATATATATATATATAAAAGTCATAATAATTAATGATAATTGAAAAGAAAAACCGAAAAAGGAAATATTTCATTTACAAGTTCTTTTATGTATCACTAGTGTGTTGCATGGTAACAATAAATATTTTAAGCAAGTACTTGAGTGGGTTAAGACAAAATGTAATTGCTCGATTAACAATTAATTAGATACAACTTAAAACACCGAATGTATTCCCATAAGTGATTCGTTTGCATATATTAATAATCGCTTTTGGTTACGAAGAGATTGAGATGTGTTGGTAATAATTTTGTTGTTTAGAACTCAAAAACATATCCCACAACCATATCTTTGTTGTTGTTACGAAGAGTTTAAAGATTTTTTTTCCAAAAAAGATGCCGGCGAAAACTAGCCAACCATATAAGTTGTCAAAAAAACATCATCTTCTTTCATCAATATATGCTCACATTTTTCATACATTTTTTAATCTTCTTTCTAAAGACACGTCGCTGAACAATATATTTACATCTTTCATTGAAAAAAATATCACTTTCTCATCAATGTGGGATATTATCAAATTAAAGACATTTCAAAATTTATATAAAGTGTTGTTTTCTCATTTATTATAGTCGCCTTCATCATTCAATCTAACATTCTATTATCAACGTGGGATTACTAAAACAATAGTACCACAATGAAAGAATTGAGAATACAAAAATCTCATAATCTCACCTCAAATACTCTAGGTTATTTCTTTTATAATGATTTTTCTATTTACATATATTTTTACAGTTTTTCCCTAAACTTGAACTTATATATATAATTTTATGTCATATTTTATAATAAAAAAATCTATTAAGTGTTGGTTAAAAAATATTTTTAGCCAAGTAAAACCTTTAATTATCAAAGTCATCCCTCATCCTCTCTTATACCCATCTCAGTTCTCAAATCTAGCATTCTCTTACAAACGTGTGATAACCAAAACAATACTGTAAAGCAATATTTGAGAATACTCAAATAATATATATATATATATATATATATATGCAAGATCGAGACCAGCCCCTTGTATATAGGGTTCCAAACATGCGCTTCTTCAAATATCCCCTCCTAGTAGGGGCTTCAAAGCTTGACTAAGATAGAAAGCTAATTCAACCTTCCAGACAGTTAAGGGCAATTCCTACGTCCCTTTAACTTGATCTTGTGGTAGACTGGCCTTCCAAGGGACATTTGGCAACTCATTCATACATACATACATACATACATACATACATATATACATATATATATATATATATATATATATGGAATAGATAGTTTTATTTTTTGTATACATTTATAGGTTGGTCAAAAAGAGATAAACTTAAATGTTGTTTAAACCCTTTTAGATTTGAAAGATATGACAACATTTTATATTATCAAACTCATCTTATCCTTCTTTAATATACATGCTTCCGTTATTCATCTCCTACTCAATGTGTGATAACCAAAATAACATCAAAATTGAGGATTTTGAATTCTCAAATTTTAAAATATCGTTTTGTTTATTCCATCATCTTTTTAGCAATTTCATTTCATTCATCTACCATCTTCCTTTTAGATATGCATCCTTTCTAGAGTTTTTATGGTTATGATTTATAGTTCAACTTTATTCTATTTGTATTCATTTTTAGTAAATAAATTTTTTAAATGAATGATGGTTGGCCAAAAATAGGAAAACCGAAAAGTTGCACAACCCCTTTTAGATTTAAAAGACATCACCTCATTTCAAATTCTTAAATTTACCGGTCATCCTATAATATACACACTTTCATTCTCCAATGTTTCATCTCCTAATCAATATGAAATAACTAAGAGTACACCACAATTTAAAATTTTAAAATACTCAAATTTTAGAATGCCACAACATTTATATATATATATATATAGAGAGAGAGAGGGAGAGAGAGGGAGAGAGGGAGGACGTTTCAAATGCAACTCATACATTTGTACAACCAATGCAATTGAAATATTTATGGAAATGACGAGAGTTCATTTATTATGATTTAAATATTTATGTAAGATGACTATGGTTCATTGATTATGATCAATACTTTATATTAAGAAAACAACCAAAACTTTATGAAATCACATATTCATTAAATTAAATGAACCATTGAGATTGAGTTATATTGGTTGTACAAATATAAATGGTTACATAATAACTCAACTCTCTCTCTATATATATATAGATAGATAGATTTACTCAAGATTATTAAAATAAATTCAATTTGAAACTATTTATTTGAAATAACGGTGTATATAAAAGTAAATAAACAAATGTTTTTTTTTGGTTTCAATGAAATGCTATAAGACAGAATTTGTGGGGTGNCAGGTACTCAAAATAAAAAATGCAATTATTTTTTAGATTTTGTAGCCCAATTAATTGTTGAAGTATACATTTTAATTTGAAAAAATTGCATCAAAATGGAACTAACTTTCACCTGATTTTTATTTTGGGAAACCAACTTTTAAAATCGTCATTTTGGGAAACCAACTTTCAGCTGATTTCTATTTTGGGGAACCAACTTTCAAAACCGTCATTTTGAGCAACTTGCACCTGATTCCTATTTTGGGGAACCAACCTGCAAAATAATTATAAAAAATAACTAAAATTCGTTTTTTTTTTTCAAAAATTAATGCAATAAAATCTATTTCTCATTTGAAATCTCGTTTTTTTTAAATTCAGATATCAAATTGAATATTTTTTTGAAAAAAATCCAAATTACCATGATAAAAATTGTTTTTTTACCAATGCAATAAAAAAATCAATTTAATAGAAAAAATTAATTGATGCAATAAAAAATAAATATTAAATATCAAATTCAAGATTTTTATATCTAACCAATCTGTGTCAATATTAAAGTTTAAATCAAATTTGGCAAATCCAACCAAAAGTTTGATAGAGACCCTTAAATTACTTGTTACGTGTTCAACAGATCAACCAGACCCTTAAATGAACAAAAAGTTTGACAGATACCCTAAATGATGAGTTTAAAATTTGGTTCCCCAAAATAGGAATCAAGTGAAAGTTGGTTCTATTTTGGTGTAATTTTTCCATTTTTCTATAATTATTTTGCAAGTTGGTTCCCTAAAATAGGAATTATATGCAAGTTGGTTTTCCAAAATGACGATTTTGAAAATTGGTTCCCCAAAATAGGAATCAGGTGAAAGTTAATTCCCTAAAATGACGATTTTTAAAGTTGGTTCCCCAAAATAGGAATCAAGTGAAAGTTTGACCATTTTATAGCCCAATTCAAATTCACATAATTTTATGTACCCAAAACACTAAAACCATTGAAAGGAAATGATAGGAGAATGCTTGTGCATCAGAGATGTATAAAAAACTTCAAGCATTAATATAAATTCATCACGAATAAGAACATATTATCTTATTAAGTCATTTTTTATAACCGGATTAAAGCGAGTATGAAAGGCCAATTGAGCCTATATTCACTTGTAAAGCTTGGATCTGACTTGAGTTCATAGAAGAAATTTGTAACCCAAGGATTAGTAAACGTTAATAAATTACGGATTTCATATCGTATTTTAATTCGTTGCATAGATGCACCTTATTTCCTCCCATTCTGAGTGGTTATTTAGTTGATGTTGATTCATAATTATATGCTTTTATCTACTTTTTCATTCATGAGTTGTTAAGTTAAATATGATCGGAAAATGAACACGAACACAGAACATGTCGTTATCAATTCAAATTTTTAGTAATATTTGCAAAAATGACGCAAGTCAATTGTTTATCAAAATAACATATATAGCACGACTTTGAAAACCGTTAAATGTGCACAAGCATAGATATGACTACTAAACACTAATATATATATATATATATATATATATATATATATAAACATACGTAAAGATAGAATTCTCCTTATTCTCAATACATTGTATTTTATTTTTGGCTATGAAGATAAATTTTTTGATAGTAAGATTGTAACAATTCATCCCAAATGAATAAAAAAAATGAGATTTGTAAACTCTTGATAAACCTCAAATTATGAATTATCAATAATTTTTATTATGAATTTAAATTAAAATCGAAATCGAAAATCTTAAATCAGCGTGCCCCATTGGGCTTGGGGCCTTACAGAGGATGATTGGGTGTTGCATTATTGAAAATGTTTTGTATTTTCATTAAATAACTAATTTAATTTATTATAGTTGTCTATTGACAAGAAGCAAAATGTTTGTATGCTTATGCAGTTACAGTTACAGTGAACCACCATTACAGATTATTGGGTATATATATATATATATATATATATATATATATATATATATATATATATATAAATGGATTTTTTTTAATGATTCACATATAAATCTTTCTCATGCCTTCTTTTCTTNTGTTTTGTATTTTCATTAAATAACTAATTTAATTTATTATAGTTGTCTATTGACAAGAAGCAAAATGTTTGTATGCTTATGCAGTTACAGTTACAATCTAAAAAATCTAGTTGAAGATGGATATATATATATATATATATATATATATATATATATATATATATATATTCAAATGGATTTTTTTTAATGATTCACATATAAATCTTTCTCATGCCTTCTTTTCTTACACTTTTTCACAATATTTTGTCTTCTTAATTGAACCTCCCACTATTTAAAAAGGGCTCGTCTTTCGATCTAAATTGTCAATTTATGAGTTATGGTAATAAGAATAGGTATGAGCTAGATTATTTGATTGCCATGCCGTTTATTTTATTAATGTATTTAAGATGGAGAGTTTTTAACGTCGTGAATCTTCTTTAATTGACTGAGATAATGAACTGCAAGGTTAGCAGTAAAGTTATGCCGTGATGATAACTTCAATAAATTGACCTAACACATTAGATTTTACAAGGCAACATGATTATTCAAGAACTTTAGCTTTAAACCCTTATTTGGTCATGTTATGTATCATTTGTTCACTTCGGTTGTAGTTTTAAATTTATAAAATTGGTTGTTTTGTGTTGTCTTAGTATGTTTAACCAAAGTAAATTAACTTAACATTTGACATCCACAAAGTGAAATTACAAGTTTGTCCTTGTCGCTCAGATGATTTTATGAGAAAAAAAGGATACCTTTTTAATAAAACATATAAATATATAATATATAGGGCTGAATTTTACAAGCAAAACCATACATTAACTTTAGCTGACCCCACTTTCAAACTTCACCCTCACTCAAGATTTTGTGCTCCTTCCTCTACCCACTACCCACTTTGCCTAGGGGCTTCCTTAATTTTTTAGTTTATTACTTATTTACCAAACAATTTATCACATAAATGTTTATCGGTAAAATTTAATATTATTATTTATTTATCGGGTAAAATTTTAGTCAACAAAAATAACATCACATGCAACAATTTATCTGGTAAGTGCTAATCATGATAAGAGTTACCACCATCATTTACCGAGTAAGACTATCGTTCTTTCCCTCGTTTTTACCAGTTAAGATTCTTGGTCATTATCATATTTAACTGATAAGGTAATGTGACTTGGTAAACACTTACTTGGGTAAACTTTTGATACACGGCCCCTAAGTTTTATTTTAATAAAAAAAAAAAATACTTAATGTTTGATGCTAATTGTTAAAGTCAGAACTTTATAGATCCGATGGCAATTTCAAATATGAAATTAAAAGGGATCAAATAGTAAAAAAGAAAATTTGTGGAGTTTAGTGTTAAAGTGTTCATGTTATTTCCCAAACCATATTATCAATTAGATAAAAATCTGAAAAATAATTTATTAAACATTAGATGCTTAGTAATATATTATCCTTAAATTTCAAGTTTACAGGTGATTATTGTATATGTACAATTTTTTAAACTCTATAAACTAATTAACAATTAATTCATAAACACATTCAAATATATGATAATTAATGAATCTTAACTAAATAAGACATCACTATTTGTATCTAAAAAATAAACGTACTTTATAAAAATAAATTACATAATTTTTTTAGATTTGACATATAAATTTTGGATTTTGTTTTTTGATAAAAAATTGTATTGATTTTTTGTTTTCGGTTTACAACAAAACTTTGCATTCGTCGCATTGCACGGATACACAACTAGTATGTTTATTAAGTGTTAATTTTAATGATATTTATATCTTTGTAGGGTTAGGATTTGAAGTTGTTGCTATTTATATGTTTGTTGTTGCAAAATTTGAAGTCTTTGTGCGTTCTAATTTTTGTCATATGCACACGATACTTGTGAATTGGGGCAATAATGAGGGTTGTACGTAACTTACAAACCCTTTTGGCATAAACATCTAACAATAGCAATATAATAACTATATCATGCCAATAGTTTTGAATTTTTGTAATTTATTATTTAAAAACTCAAATATTATAAATCAACCCTTCTATTATTACATATATTGTAAAAATCTTTTGACTCTGACACCTCAAACTCAAAGAAATCATACACAGGTAGAAACGTTTTAGATACAAACCCTTTTGACTCATATCAAGAATCACTCACTAAAGGTTGAGTAGTCTCGAACGATTTTCTTCTCACCAAAAGGCAAATAATTTTTGATGGTTGAGCATGCGTATTATCTACGGTGCATATCACAAAATCGGGTCGATGAAGCGCCAATGTCAATCGCTCCTTTGTTGGTTCCAATTCGGTGGCATCTAAAAGCACATGCCAAGAATTCCGATGAGCCTCTGAAATCCAGTGCATTGAATAACTAGTCCCATTAACATAGGCAGGGTATGCAAAAAGCCCTTTTGGACTGTATTTACACTTTCTCCTGAAATACTGGCTAAGTTGTGATCCTTTAATTCGTAGATCCAACCATGACTCTGGAGCAGCTACGACTTTCGAGTCCTTAGTACCTACAAATTCTCTAACAGAATCTTCTTTTTCATTAATAATACTCATGTAATAATTCCCTCTAAAGAAAGGGTAAGATTCCCCTATCATCACCATGGCTTCTTTAAATGTTGGTGTGAATAAGACGAGATATTCATCTTCTTGTAACCCGCAATTTTGCAAGGCTTTATTCCGGACTTGGATCTCCGGAATGGACATGAAATTACCTTGGAACGAGGATTTTTTGTTCAAAATTTCAAGCAATTTTGAAGGCTCTAATTGTGTACCATCAAGATCATATGTAGGACTGAAGGATGAGGGCGAAGATGAGTCTTTTATTGTGATAACTCTAGGGGAATACTTTCGTTTGTCATCACTAATTATACTTGCTTCCAAACTTGATTCATCATTGCTACAAATATTGTATAAATCGATCTTGTCTCCCTCTTCAACAATAAGTCCGTTGCAATATTCAGGGTACTTTGCAAAAATATATTGTTTCACGTATTCCATTTCTTGTGGCGTGATCGGACCTGACCATCTCAGGTCGAGTCCATGGAGCGTTGATATGGCTTCGGCCACCAAGTGTGCCGGAAACACCGTATGTGCTTTCTGTTATCATATTCAAAACAAATGGAATATATATCAAAAAAAACCAAAACCTAAAAGACTGGTGCTTGTATTTGAGACCACCACTGTGAATTATGAGTTCAATTATATATTGGATGAAGATATGAACTGATGCAGCGTTTTCTACAATAGAGACTGATTTCTAGATTGTTATCCATTATAAATCTGTCATCCCATTCGTAAAAACGAAAACAAGAATCCTAAAATCTATTAATACGAGTTATTTTGAATAAAAGATGAACAAATATCATGGTGCAAAAATTAGATCATTAAGCATTGATTTGATAAAAGTTACCATAAATAATATGAGCTCTTTTCATTTTCATGATAAAGCAAACAATTTTGAAATAGGGTAAAATGAAGAGAAGGAGAACTTACCTTCATTACCATGCTTGTTGGTCTGCTTCCAATGTTGTGATTTGGTGAAGTTGGCAAGGAAGTTATCATCGATTTTGCGATTTCAATTTCATCCATCTTAGATTAAATTAAAAACAAAAAAGTTGTAGCAGTTTGTTAGTATCGTTCAGTAAATTACTAAAAATACGTAGAAAACACAACTTTGAGTATACCTTTGATTGTTGTTGTAGGATCACTTGTTCTTGTGCATTTCTTCCCATGGGTGAACAAAGAATGGAGAAGAGGTTGCAAAGGTTAAGGTTAAGGTTAAGGTTATGAACACATCAAACATGTCACCCTTTCTAGTATTATAAACAAACCAAGGAGACAGCAAATAAAAAAACAATACCTACAAATGGCGTCACCTGCCCCTATTTTCATTATTTCAATATTTAATCTTTTTTCAAATATTACTTATTCATTAAATATGTCATTTATGATTGAATGAACCCCCCCCCCCTTTTTATAAATAATATCCTTATAAAATAATTAATATGATAAGATGTGACTTGGTTAGTAAAAGACTAAGAGATGGAGTGATTTTATCTAAATATAGGACATGTCTCAAAGTAGAAATAAATTACATTCAACTCCAACAACGATTCTATTTTAACACATCTGGCGTTAACTATAATATTAAAATTTTCTATATATTTTATAAAATATTATTTCTCTCTCTTAAATACTTAACTTCAAATCTTCAATGCCTCCTGTTGGGGAGAAAAAATTAAATATAACTTCTCTATCATAAATATGAAATTTTATAGAAGATTTCTACCCTCTCTCTTAACTATTGGAGTAAAAATATATCGTAAATATCTTCAAAGTCACTATTTTAACACAATTATTGAAGATACTCTAACGTTGTGTTCTTAAAACTTTTTTTACGAAGGAAAGAAAATGAAAGGGAGGGGAAAAGGAGGAAAGTAGAAAAAATAACTCATGTTCTAAAACTTTCTTAGGAGAGAAATGAAATGAAATGAAAGAGAAAGAAAATAATGATAAATTTCCTGTTCCTCTAAAATGTGAAAGGAAAGAAAAGACATTAAATCTAATTAAAAAGGTTAATAAAATTATAAAACGATCTAATCATTCATTATAAAGAATATATTTTTAAAGAGTATATCGGTAAAACTGTCATCTTTCTTTTCCTTTCCTTTCTCTTCTGTGTAGGAACATGAAAAATTATTTCATTTTACTTCCTTTTCATGGACACGCATAAATTTTTTTTCTTTCGAAAACACAATGTAAGTTTCTAATGAAACAAAAACATGTAATTATTAATGATATCATGATAAAAATTAAAGTATTATTTTGCTTTTAATATAATAAAAAGAAAATAACTTTTTCCCAAGTCAAAGAATCAGCATAAAAGATTTTAAATTTTTAATCAGAAAATGTTATTAATTTAATTTTCCACCTGAATGTAATTGTCAACTTTTTGTTTAAACAAACTAATATAACATTTAAAGTTGAATATGTTTTTTGGAACGCATAAAATAAACCGGGAGTCGGTTATAAAAGAAATTTCTCGAATCCACTTTAAAGCGACTTACGAATATTTTTATTTTTTTGTGATTTATAAAAATAATTATATATAAAGTTGTAATACAAAAAAAATTGGTAAATTAAAATTTAAGAAATGTTAAGAAGAAGTAAAATAAAAGTATTATAGTAGTGACGTAGACTCCGTGCCTAATCCTCTCACTCCAAGTTGTTGATAATATTCAAATCAATTATAAAATTATAGTATTTAAAACATCATATATTTATTCACCAACGCTATCATTTTCATCAAAATTTAATTAAAAATGGTTATATGATTGCAAATTTTGTAGAATTTAAAATTTCAATTTTCATTTTGAAATTTAAAAGTCATGCAACACGACTTGTATTGTGCAATTTGTACAAGTATAACCAACCCTCATCCACCAGTAACCACCATCGTAGGGACAGATCTAGTGTAGAGCATAGGATGTCTTGTGTCACAATATTGTTTATTTGTTGTAATGTAAAAAACTCAGGGTCGTAAAAAGTGTCACCATATTAATGTGTTGTATACCACTGTATGTATTTTAAAACTACAATCAGAACAAGTCTTACTTTGGTAGAGTTGGTGTGTAAGATTTTTCTTCCACCTCTACTCGAGATCGAATCATGTTAATATCAATTTCTTAGTTAAATGGCGTCACCATTTGAATTTTTTCTCTATATTTGTTTCTTATTGTCAAATGATGCCACTATATTTATTTTTTATAGTCACATGATGCCACAGTTTAAATAAAATTCTGGATCATTCCGGGCACCATCGACCTCCCTTCCCCATGGCACCACCTCCCCACGACATCGCCATGCGTGTGGCTCCCCTTTTTGTTACACCCTACATACTACATAGTGTCCCCTTCACAATGTACCCCCTCGTTCACTAAATTAATTGAAGTTGGTAGTATTTTCTTCATTTTATGGTATTTTTACAAATAATTTGAAAGTTGAATTATCTATACTATATTATATAATATTTGCAAAAACTCTTAAAAATCATTTTTGTTGCATAAAGTACTGTTTATTGATACATATTACTTAAAATTTAAGATTACAAGTAAAAATTGTGCGTAAATATAACTTATTAAAGCTTCATATTTAAATTCATGTAACTAACTGCAGATAAATATAATAAAATAGAGAATAAATATTTCATTTAAATATAAAAAATCTAAAATATAGTTAGAATAATTGTTGAGTTTTAACAAAATATTTAGTTATTATCTTCATAAAAAATTATATTATTAAATTAAAAATTAAAAATTTCGTTATTAAACCTAAATTAAGTTATAATAAAAAATGAATTAAATAAATTACATACAAAAAAAAGAATTCTTAAAAGTTAGTTTGGTACTAATATCAATATATATATTTTTAAAATTTTATAATATCTTCATATTTATATTATATTAAAAAATAAAAACATTATTGTTTTTTCAAACTGTATTATAACATTGATTGAGACAACAAAAATAAACAAAACATTAAAATCGAGATCATATTGTACGAGTACCTTTCTAGCGTCCTTTAATGTATTTATAATATGTGACATATTTAAAACTTGAGAAAACTTCAAAAAAACCTAACAAAAAATTTCATTTGGAATGGTTTAGTCCATAAACTATTTTTTGAATGAATAAACCATTAAACTTTCTCATTTGAAATGATTAAGTCCCTAAACTATTTTTTAATGAAAAAACCATTAAACTTTTTCATTTTGATTGAACCACACTTTTAAAAATTGGTTGCTTACATACGTTTAATCTAAAAAAGTCACATTAACTAATTAGTAAAAATTCGATGGTTTATTTATTTTTGTAAAAAAATCAAGGGTCTTAATTATTCAAAATGTAAAAGTTTAATAAGTTTTTCAATGAAAATAATAATAATTTATGGACTTAATTATTTAAAATAAGAAAGTTTAATGATTTTTTTATTAAAAAAAATAGTTTAGAGACTAAACCAGTCAAATGAGAAAATTAGTTAGCTTTTTTTTTAATTTTTCCCTTACATCTTTTACAGCATTCACCGACCTTTTTTCATTTTCAAAACAAAATCGAACTTCTAAAGCTCTTAAATAGGCATCAACCACCTATAACATGTCCTAATATAGTGTTTGAACTATTACTAAATGCTAATCCAATTATACGCATTAATAGTTAATGGTTTGCAAACTCAAAAATAAACCCTGCCATACTCGTATTTTTTTTTTTAAACGTGGATGTTCAATCATGACTAATCCTAATATTTTTAGAGAACAATAAAAAAACCTTCAATAATCTTGAGAAATTCGAACCGGTAACCTCTAAAAAGTTGTAAAACAAATGAATAGCAATAAATTTATATAAAAATTGGTAATAAAAACAATGAAGAGACGGTGACATGTTGAACATTCATTAGATTTCCAAATGCCATCAATCCCCACTTGGATTTAAAAAAAGATTGGAATCTTTTGGGGGTGAAGAGGACGTGTGTTGGGGTCATGTTGCAATTACTCGATATAAAATGGTAGGCATGGTCGCACCTCCCATTTTATCTATTACTTTATTACAAATATAAAACTCTCTCTATATATATACAATTTTTCTGTCAAAACCCCTCCAATTTATTTCAAAAAAAAAAGAAAGAACGTGGACCCCACTTGTTAAAATCAATGACATATTTTATAAGGAGATACTCAAATAAAACGAATATGCGTCATACTTTACAAAAATATGCATTATTTATATATAATTATATTGCATTCCGTTTTCATAAATAACGATATTATCTTGTATGTGTGATTTTTCTTCGTGCTTTCATTGATTTGAATTTATTTTCATATAAAACGATGTTGAATTTTTAATTTTATGTAACAAAATCAATTTGTTAATTGATTTAAATGAAATAATCTATTTATAAGCGACATGTTTTATTAAACAAAAAATAAAATAAAATATGAGAATATAATCTTAAGCTTTACTCAAAATACTTGTGTTTTTGATTTTCCATGGCTCTGTAAACTTGTTTAAATCAAAGGAAGATATAATTATAAGCCAAATCTTGAACTTAAATTTGAATTTAAAATTTCATCAAACCACTTTACAAGGAGGCAGAGGCATTAGGCATAGATAGAATGGAATGGGTGGTTGGTTAACCATACTTGCTACGACTTTGGAATTTTGTTCTCATGGCATCTCAAGTCTTAATTAATACCTCCTTACTTTTCCATATTCTTGATTCAAATGCACATCTTTTCTTCAAGTGTACAAATGTTCTTGCAAAACGTACAACCCCCAATTGTGATCATTATTGAAACCCAAACTCAAACCCAAAGCCTATTTTATTTGACCATTTAACATGTTTGGTATTTAGATAAGACTGGATTAAAGTGAAGTAAGTTAGTGAAAGAAATGTGAAAGGTTTTAGATTTTTTATTTTATATTGATACTTTTTCACATTCTTAATACCTTGTTCCAATTATTTTGGTGGGATATAAATACTGCATTTTTCTCACTCAAATACTACCTTGTCTCAGTCTAATGTCGTGCTAAATATAGAACAACCCGTTTAAATTATGATGTTTTATGTGTTCAACATCCTTTTCTTTTCTCTTATTCATTATTGGTGTGTGTGGTATTTAGACAAGACATAACATGATATGACAAAACCACTATTCAACTTTTGGTAAGAGTAAGACATGACCAGGAAAATTATTAATTTACTCTTGACGAATTGTTTATATCTTTTCTATATTTTGAATAATTTTTTCTGTATTTTAAATAATTAACGTGATTTATTAAATTATAAATGAAATAAATATTTTTTATTACAAATTATGAAGTTTATGTAATTTCCAATTTTTACTTTTATACGTATTTAATGTTTTAGAGGAGAATTAAGTTTTATTTTGAAGGTATATTGGTAAAACATATGCTTGTTCCACCTTGTTGTATGGGATGGTGGTGGAACACGCCTATTTTACGATGTTCTCGTCTGTTCCACATTAAAGTCACGTCAAACGTGGAACATTGATTTTCTTGTTCTGTTTTATCATTTCTTGTCCAGTGTACCAAACGCACCGTATAAGATTTAACAACAAACCGAGACTGTCCATATTCAATGTTACTATGCCGGTTTGGACCAGTCGAATGAGCCAGGTTGAAGATTATGCCTGTGGTGGGCCAAGCCATATGTGACCCTATACTCCAATTGATTCAAAATCATCCAATGAGTGGTTTACATCTAAAACAATACATAATATCAAATTTTGAGAAAACTGTAGATAACAAACACAAGTAAACAAGAATGAGTCAAACGATGGATACATTATCTAATCACAATGACAATGAGAACACTTGTGACGAAAGGCATCAAGTCTTTTTGGACACATGCAAAATGCTAATTACGAACTAACCACACACACACACATATATATATATATATATATATATATATATATATATGCACTTATATGTTGACTCTAATCAAACAATTTGTGGTCCAACTTTGTATTATTCACGAAGAATGATTTACATTTACATTTGCAACAAGACAAGTCAAGTTTTGTAATTCCATCCGGGGTGAAAAATACATGCAAGTACTTTTTTTAAGATAAGACCCACAAAGCAGAAATTGAAAGGGAGGAAATAACCAAAACCAAACGCAGCCAGATTCCATACTTTTGTAGTTCTATGTATAATTATATATGATTCCATAGGGTTTTATATATACATAGTTTCCTAGAGAAGTATGTTATAGAAAGAATTTCATCCGTTCATCGGTCCTCATAGCATTATATACAGCTCGAACCTGGAAAAACATATGGATTTTTGTATGTCATCATCAAGATTTTCTACTTTCGATTAGAGACGGACCCAGATTTTTTTTTCAAATGGTGGCACCATTTAACTATAAGAAAAAACAATCTATAGAAACTTTTCATAAAATTGTTAGAAATTTGTTAGTTGGTTTCTTGCCTTTCCCAGAAAAAGGAACATCTTTTAATATTGCAATGGTCTTATCTTTGAATTTTTTTTAAAACACAAAAAAATAACTCAAAATTTAAGCTAAAGGGCACAAAGACTCGAACCTACGCACTTTGAACAAAAGGGTAGCAAACTAATCATCTTTAACATCAAGAATTTGTGCCATTGTTGTAGTTTCATAAAATATAAGGGTACCCAACAAAAAGAATACGGTGACACTTTTCAAAAACGTAATTTTTTATTATGCCGGAACCATTAAGTGGTGGCACGTGCCACCATATGCTCTTAACTAGGTCCGCCTCTGCTTCCTATCTCAATTTATAACTAAAATTGATAGATTGATAAAGAGAAAGAACCTGTTCCCTAGAAATGACTTGAACGGGTCCAATATTCACCGAGACGTATTTTCCTCCTGATGAAACTCTCTGCTTCACATGGGCCTGTTGTTAAACATGATCACTCCATTTATGTCTAAATCTATAGTTGTTAAATAAAAAACAACCATGATCTTTCTATAAGTTCTACAGTTACAAGCTACGTGTACCTGTGGGATCGAATGTTGAATGACAGACTCCACAGCACCAACCATAGATTGCACAAAATCATCGCCTCCGATCCCAATTGCTGTAAACCTTCGAACACTTGGGTAAGTGTTTACCTATCAAGTAAATACATCAAACCAGTTATTTTGAAAAATCTACATTAAAAGCTCCCAAAACATACGAAATCAAGCCGCATTCAATAAGCACCAAGTGGGAAGTGAAAAAATTGGACTGCTGATGATAATTTTCTTGATGCTACATTAGAAGCACCTAGAGATGATGTTGTTTACTAACACTTCTGACAGAAACCATAGGTGCTGACTAAGTCTTCCATCAATATATTATTGACCGAGTCAGACAGTGATTATCTTAATTACTTTTGTCAGTGAACACTCGGAACACAACCATTTTCAGTTGGCGCTTCACCAGACTAAACCTCTTACCCAAACCATGATCTTAGTTGGTTAGCACTTACCCAATTGGTGTTGTATACGACCCCAAAGTGGAAACATGTATAGTAGTTAGTTGATGGTATGTTTTATAGGAAAATGATGAGCAACGATTTATGAACAAGAATGTTGAACCACGAAAAGAATACGAAAATTGAGTGGATGAACGGAAACAAAAGGATTAGAAATGGACAAAGGAAGGAGTCACTTAGATAGGAAAACTAATTGGTTGAGTTCTTCATTGATCCTTAGCCTAGCTACCTCAACTAGTTTGGGATAAAACACTCGTTAGTATCAAATAGAAGATAAAAGTAATAGCAATCAGTACCTTTTGATTAAGAGTTAGCCACTCACAGGTCGAACCATCAATCACCGTACCTCCAAAAACCATATTTGTGGTTTGTCCAACTCTACCTTCTGTCTTTGAAGTGTCTGAATCAGACCCAATAGTTAGTTTTACCATCTCCTTAATTAGTAATTCCTACCTAATTCTAATGCATTTGGTGACATTAACATGTTATCCTCTATTTTCACTCCATCTGTTCCCCAACTCAAAAGTTCGATTTGCAAAAAACCATTTACAAAAATGTGAGATAATGTGTGTATTCATCATCTTCGCAGATTCTGGAGTTTTAGGACAGAGTATCTTATACAATATTGACCGACTATAACATCTAGTCCTATATTATAAATGATCATGAACAGAGATCCCTGTCTACCAACAACTTTCCATCATAATTTTAAGTCGTTCGAAAGTTAATCGAGTAAACTTGCTACTTTGAGCGGTTAGCATGATGCAGGGACGGATCTACTGTATTAGATATGGTGGCATGGGCCACCGCTTCGTTTCTTTGTAAGAAATTATAGTCGTGAAAAGTGCCATCATATATATTTTGGAACTACTAGGACACAAGTTTCCCTTGGTAGAGTTGGTTTGCAAGGCTTTTCTTCCATCCCAGACCCGGCTTCGAATCTTGTTAGCGTCATTTTCATGGTTTTTAGCTTTTAAGTTTAGATTCATTTATTTTTCTGATTTTTTTTGCAAATAAAGACTTGAACACATATGAAAAACAATGAACTAATGAACAGATGAATGACAATTCTATGAAAAATATCCCTAGGTCCATCACTGGCTTTGAAGCAAGTGTTACGATTAAGATTGTCAGAAACAGAAACAAAACTTAGCCAGCTTAACAATGCATCATCAAATTAGTTAATCTATTTCTCATAACCACAAATTTCAATTCTTTCAAGCTCCTAGAAGCAATTGTATCCTTGTAATTTCTAAATAAGAAGTTCAGAATTCTTCACTCAATGCCCTACCTTCGTAATCTTTCAATGCAGTAGCACAAATTCCACCAAAGAACAAAAATAGAACATAATTCAGACACAAATAGAAGATTCTGAGCAATCAAATTGAAGAAATGGGAATTAGGGTTACATGTTAGGACCTGAAACAATCTGGAGATCAACTTCTTGAGGCGGTTCGTGGCTATTCTCAGCAACCACTGACGAGGACGACGACAGATTTTCATCACGAGAGCAATTAATCTGGGGATCAATTCGTCTCTCCGAGCAGCAATCTCTAACGTTTGTAATAATCTTACACCTACATCTCCCACTCGAAATGGGAGTTTGAAATTTCTGCCGGCTAAGATATAACGAAAAAGAGGTGCGATCAACGGAAGTTCGCCATAATTCCTCCAGACTCACAGCTTTGATTAATGCCCTACGCGCCATTTTCTATCTATCTCTCCAAAAACAATGCTCTGATCGGAAATTCGGAATTCAGTTTATGCAAATTTCCGCGCCAAAGAATGGTGGAGAGATTTTGCAGGAAGTTTGTTTTCATTCGATGTAGGGCGGTTGTCAATAGCATAAAAAGACAAAATTGCCCTTTACCTTTAAGGGGTAAATATGAAAATATATATTTTAAGCCGGAAAATCCTATTTTCCGCTTTATATAAAAAATGTTGGTTTTTGGTATGAACAAAGTTATGTTGATAAACAAAGGGAATGATCAATCATAGTTCGGGATCAAGAGTAATGTAATTTATCAATATGTATCAGGTTAATTTTCGTATCAGACGTAATTCATGAGCTAGGATGAGATTTGTTCTTATGTTTCTCACCTTCACTCCAATTTTCACTAGAACCTTTTTTCGTTCACAGATCCTTCTTTTCGTTCCTATAGGTTGTTAGAAATTATGGATTTTGTCCTTGTAATTTTGAAATTGCTGTTTTTATTTCTATGATTTATAAATCATTGTTATTTTCGTTACTTGTACTAATTTCAAGCTTTAAATACGAGGATTAAAATATCATTAACAAAAAGGCAATGAAATTTAAATCACAAAAACAAAAAATAGCAATAATATCAAACCATAGGAATGAAACCTGTAATTTCAAAACTAAAGATGTGAAATCTGCAATTTTCGATAAACCACAGGGAGAAAAAACGTAATTTGCTCGAAAAGAAATTTTTTTGCTTGTTGAAGATAAACCCTAATTTCGTGATCCCCATTTTCTTTCCGTTTGATTCAAACTCGAATATACATCAAATGTACAGATCCGACAGCGTAAACGACGATTCAGATCGAACTGCCTTTCGTAAAACCGAGAAAAAGTACAAGCTATATTACGACCCGAATACCAAATCTTCAAAACGGTAAGAAATTCGTTCCATTAATCTGTTTTCAGTGCTTTTCTTTACTGTTGATTGTTACTTATAGAGTCTATTTGGTGCATTGGTTTGTTTGATTTTAGGAAGAAGCAACCAAGGCCAGTTGATTTATCGGAGGTTATCGATTTCAAGTCTATTACGGAGTCCTTTGCTACAAATGGCGATCTTCCGGTTGGAGTTTCGAGGCTTGAGTGTCACTTCGATAGACCTGTTTTCTGCTTGGACGATTGCCCTGGTATGCAGATAATTTTCTTTTGATTTCAAATTGGTTTCGGAAGTTTTGAAGTTATAACCAGTCAGAAACTAAAGTTACAAAACTGAATTCTTTTATTACACTCCTTTGCCAGTGTTCTACTTTGTATATGCTGTTTCTGTTGCATTTATAGGATTGTTTGGAATACAGCATATTGATTGGTGATATATATGTTATGTGGTTGATGCATTCATATATGTGATGGTGATATGGTCTCAAGTGCAGGTTTCTATTTCATCCCTGCTGCATTGAGTATTGAGGAACAATGCAGATGGATTAAGGAGAGCTTAGTGAGTTTCCCTCAGCCTCCTAACAGAACAAATCATAATGCTTTTTATGGAGCCATACCTGATTTGTTCAATGCCGCAGAAGATAGACGATTGTTAGTTGAAGAGGAGAAGATAGCTGGTGAAGATAATTCCACTGACGTCGATGTTAATGTTAGTAGTCATCGGTGGGCTTCTTCTGAAGAACTTGCTTCATCATTAAGTGGAAATACTTGTAAATCAATATCAGCATCTGTCTTGCTACGGAAGTTGAGATGGAGTACCCTCGGTCTGCAATTTGACTGGTCGAAGGTTATCTTTTTGTTACCATCCTCAAAATTATGCAATTGCTTGACTCTCTTGATATAAATCTAACTTTTTTTCAAAGAATATGTATAAAAGAGTCTGTAACTTGAAATTAGCTCTAAAGACTTTATCTTGATAATTTATGATGAAAATTTGCAATACGACTTGCTTGCCTTTTAGTTCTTGGGAAATTGTCACTGGGTAGTAAAATTTTGACTCCACTCTTGTTGCACATCATTAATTGTAATGACCTTATTTAGCCCTGTTTTTGTTATTTTCATGACCCTGCCTTTTATATACCTAGAGTAAGGGGTTGTTTGGTTGGTTTCCCATTAAGTCCAGCAGGGATAAAGTTGTCGTGGATTAATCTGTCTGTATAAATTGGGAAGGTTTTTGTTCGAGAGGATCTTTTCATAGATGGAATTACTAATTAGCATATTTTTCTTTGGGAAGGAAAAAACTTGGCTTTCTGCATAAAGCTTCCCCTAGATTGTTATTGAGTAACCACTTTCTTTATCATTAAGCCACTACCAAACAGTCATGTATAGCTGACCGAATAAGCTGTGAGTCCCAATAAGCTCATTAAGCTGCTAACTAAAAGACCCTAACACTTTCAAGTGAAAAGAGCTTATCTGTTTTGTTTATGTGCACTGTGATTGTTTTATCCTGTCATATGCCTATTTTCTTGTTTAGTACATGCAGCTTTGCAATATGCTACCATTGGCTCTTGTATATACATATGTGAATATGTTTCTTCACATGATAATTGTGATGTGCTGCGTCTCTATGACTATTTATAGTTAGTGCATAAAAATATTCCCCGTTTCAGCACTGGGCATATCCAGTTTATCAAGAAGAGATGTTCAATGAAACAATCTAACTACGACATGTTTATTTTTCATTTTTCTCGTCAATCAACTCTAAAATTTTGTAACATATATCTTTATGTAGAGGAGCTATAATGTTTCCCTCCCTCACAACAAGATCCCAGATGCACTTTGTCTACTGGCTAAGAAAATGGCTGGTCCTGCGATGTCAGTTGGAGAAGAATTTCAACCAGAAGCTGCAATAGTTAATTACTTTGGTTCAGGTACTATTTGCATACTAAATATCCAAGATCCATGTGTCAACTGTCCTGCTATTTTTCTAAAGATTAATTTCATAAGGTTATTGGTAAATGTTTAAAGCCTTGTAGTTCGATTAAATGGTAATCGAATCTATTCATTTTTCAGGTGATATGCTGGGTGGTCACCTTGATGACATGGAGGCAGATTGGAGTAAACCTATTGTAAGCATGAGGTGAGTCTTGGGTATATTGCTTGATTAGTTTATCCTTTCATGTATTCAAGTTGGGATTGGTATATGTGTTGGACCGTACATTGACACAGTATTTTCTTTCTCGTTCAAGTTTGGGATGCAAAGCTATTTTCCTTCTTGGAGGGAAGTCCAGAAATGATGAACCGTTAGCTATGTTCCTTCGTAGTGGCGATATTGTACTGATGTCTGGAGAAGCGAGGGAGCGTTTTCATGGTCAGTACATAAACCATCTACATTCTTTCTCAAGTCGTTTCTTTGTTCTCTTAGGGTGTGTTTGGTATCAAACAAGATAGAAGAGTTGTTTGGTAAGACGGAACTAGACAGGATAAAACATATAAAATGACGAATTTACCCCTGATGAGTTGTTTATATATTTTGATTAATTTATGTAATTTATAATAAAATATTTTTATTATTTTGATATAAAAATTAAATACATAAATTAACCAAAATATAGAAACCGCATAAAAATAATATTTTGAGGACAATAAGGTGAAAGTTTAAAGAACATAAAATACAATAAATAAAATTTAAAGAATGAATAAAATGTAAAAAGTGAGGCGTCTTTGATGTTGTAGAAGAGAATTAGGGTTTATTTTGAGGTTATATTGGTAAAATATAAGGTTGTTCCACCTTGTTCCATGGGATGGGTATGGAACACGTCTCTTCGACTCTGTTCTACTCTCCTACCAAACGTGGAACAGTGATCCCTGTTATGTTATATTCTGTCCTGTCTAGTGTACGAAACGCATCCTTAGATTATGAACTAGCTTAGACCTAAAGTACTATTTGATGGTGCACCAATTGCTCATAGATCCTGCAAGGAACAAGTATGCAAAAGTGATTTGCCCTTCTCATCCACATAGCCACTTTTGTGAATGAGGGGTGGACCTACATATGGCATCACGTGCCTCCGCTTCATGGTTTATGATTTTTCAAGTTCCGTTTTGCAGGTGTGCCTCGGATTTTCACTGACACAGAAAATGCAGAAATCGGGCCTTTGGAAAAACAGTTCTCAGGTGAAGACGATATTTGTTACCTGGAATACATTAAAACCTCAAGAATTAACATCAATATCAGACAGGTTTTCTAAATAATTGATTATTTTTACCCGAAAATTGATTAAACAAGGTTAATATTTTCATTTTCTCCAGCAAGAAAAAATGAACGATAAATTCTAGTTTATGAAATTCTTCTATAGTTTCTAGTGAAAATTACGAAACTTTTATGATGTCTGAGAAAAACTGTAATGTACTTTGGTTTGAAAATGACGTATCGTCACAAAAATTATATCTTAATAACTTCATTCACAAGTTTTCTCTATTATGTGTTTGTCGAATAACCATATTACATGCTACATGGTTATACATTTGACTGACAACTGAAATCAGGAAGCTAAACTTTAAATAGCTGAAATGATCAAAAAACAATGATAGATGCACTTGAATGATTTATGTTGCAAATAGAAGAAGACATGACTCCAATAATCGTAGAATCACAGCGGGTTTGATTCTGTTGGAATTGGAATGAGAATGAGAATGAGAATGATCAATTCTGTCGATCAAATTTCATTTTGACGTTTGGTTTACCTATGATATGGAATTGAATTCTATACATTCTATTAATCATGGATTTCATCATTCCTTCGAAGGAATTCCATTTCAACCAATTTTCTTAGGATGACAAAATTATCTCATTAAACCAATTTTTTTAAATTTTTAGTTCAAGGAAAAAAAATACAAATTCAAAGAAAGGGTATTTTGGTCATCTTTCATCATTTTGATTTAGGGCGCGTTTGGTTTGAGGGATTTGGAGGGATTTGGATTTGAAATCCATTCCAATCCTACGTTTGGTTTGTAGAAATGGTCGGATTTCAAATCCCGGGATTCATTTGAAATCCCACCAACACTGGATTTGAGAATCCTTCACCCTTACACGGGATTTGAAATCCATTCCCGTGGATTTCATCGCTTCCTCCTT